CGGTAGAGGCCTTGGTAGCGGTGGTCCATTAGTCCTTCGGACTAATCTTTTCCTTGTATCCTGTTCTCTTCATTCTCCCTTGCTCCCGAAGGGATAAGACTAGTGGAGTATCTTAGCTGGCCGCTCACAGGCTTTTAAGACCCCAGACACTACTCACCAAGGTGGAATGTAGAGCATTGTCTTTATAAGCTGTGTCATGCAGTGGCATGTTTTTAATGTGAGAGGTGGGACTTCCAGCTTATGGCTGTCACATAGCACTTGGTTCTTTATGAATATTTACAAACTTAATTGCTTCTATGGAAACCCTATGGCTTGTAGCTGTTATGGAAAGATCAGAAGGTTATGGGTTCTGGAGTTGGGAGAACCTTGTTCAGATTTTCATTCTTCTTAGAATGTATGGGTAGGTTGGTTACAGCTTGTGGGCTAAATCTGGCCCACCACCTGTTTTTGTAAATGAAGTTTTATTGGAACACAGCCAGTTTGTTTGCATATTGCCTGTGGCTGCTTTTGTGCTGCAGTGGCAATTGGGTCCTTGTGACAGAAATCACATGACCCCCAAAGCCTGAAATATTTGCTGTCTGGCCCTTTACAGAAAAGTTTGCCAACCCCTACTCTAGAGCAAGTTAAGATCAGTCTAAAGGGCTTTATTTAATTTAATGGCAGTGAGTAAGACAATTTATTGTTCCAAAAAATTTATAACAGAATATAAATTATATTTTATGTGATAAATTAAAATGGCAAGAGCTTTTTAAACAAATTATTTGAGGTTTGGGTTATAGTATTGTTGAGGGTAGGAAGCCAATTATGATGGACTTTGTGATGACTCTGGAGAAAGAATGGATTCAGGTCACAGTTGTAGGTACAAAGGCCCCTCGCTTGAGGCCACACCATTCCTTTTTCACATTTCACAGATACTGGACATTTAATATGGACACTTTAGTGCCGGAAAAGCATTGACCATTTGAAGAAAAGCATAATTATAGAACTAGAGGAAGCAAGGGAGATTGAAGGCAATGAATACATTACATCTCAGACCTATAGAGTGCTCAGTGTTTCTTCTCATTTTTCTTCTCAAGCAAAATGTGTGTGGGGGTGGGTATGGTGGGACCCCATTAAATAAACTCTCACAATATGATATCTCAGAATCCTCTCTACAAACTGGCAAAATAGAACCTGAGCAACAGGTATCATAGCAACATCCCATTTTTAGATGGATTGGTGGGCAGTGGGCACCAAGGAAGAAGAGACAAGCCTGTATACACCTTGGTGTGAAACGAAGGAGAGAGAGCTGTTGGTCTGTTTGGTCCAAATGACTTGACTAAAGATTCAGGATCAGTTTAGCCGTTGAAGGTCTCTATTTGTTTGATATAAGGTGTGTATCATCAGTGAGCTCTCTCCTTGTACTGATGGGAAAGTTTGTATTCAGGCCTGTTGGAGTTCAAATCTAACTCAGACAGATGAATGAGACCAAGCACCTCAATGATAGCTAGTTTAAGAGAATATATAAGGACTTTGAAACAGTATGCAAAAGGAAAACTGCGGTAACTTTATTGCTTTATTTGAAACCTCTGCCATCTTAATCACTCAAGAGAAAATGATGCAGCAGGATAAAGATAAGAAATAACTACCTGGGTATTTTTTTCTAGTCTATGTATTTTTTAGGATACTGTGAGAATCTTGTAGTAAGTTACTTTTGCTTGGTTATTTTGGCTGGACAGAAGTAAGACTTTGTTCAGGTCTCAAGAGTAAAGATAGAGAAAACACAAGTTACAACCACTTAAAAGTTGGCCTGAGAAATAAACATTGTGATAGGGTGATAGAGAAGGAGCCTCAGCAGATTGGTCCGTCCTTTGAAGTATTTCTGGAAGATATACTATCTTAAAAATCTCAATTTTTGAGGTTTCTGCCTCATTAGCAAGTTCATTTGTGGCGTCTGATATTTGTGGTGAACTTGGCATATGATACAGTTTCCCTGTTTTCAGAGCCAGTGCAGATTTGTAAATATTTCAAACATAGATCATAATGGGTGCTTATCTGAGGTGACCAAGGACCTTTCTGCAGCTGTCTGGAATTTGAGAGACTTGATTTGAAAATTGAGAATGTAGGACAGGTGAGCTTGAGATGAGGCGGGGACGGGTGGTGGTTTTGAGGTGAAAATAAACTCTTATCCTTTCTCTTTTCACACTTTCTCTCTTTTTAAACTTTCCTTTCTAGGCAACTTCTTTTTCACATCTTCTCAACTTATTTTGAATTTGGCAGCAGGTTGGGTTGGGCTTACCCAACTTGGGGACACCTTCCACATGGACACTTGCTCTGTGGACTTCTGATGGTCACAAAAGGGCTATTTTATGAAGCCATGATGATAAGGGGACAACAGCTTGGGTGCATTTTCTGGGCTATTGGAACCATGGAACTGGGCCAAAAACATTTTAAAAAGTTTCTCTTCCCACCTTAATCATGAATTTGTGTTTTTTTAAGTCCTTCAGGTTCCCGACCTTCAACACCTAAAAGTGATTCAGAATTGGTCAGTAAGTCTGTGGATAGGACAATGCAAAAGAATAACCCAGAAATGCTCTGGCTTTGGGGAGAATTGCCACAAGCTGCAAAGGTTAGTTGAATTATACCAGGTTTTTTTTTCCCCCCCCTCAATTCTGCCATACACTGTAGATTTGTATTACATCTTAGCTTGAATTATATGGAATCAATATCATATCATAGCCAAGGAACATAGATAAATAAAAATGCATTAATGTTTCGCTTGAACACCAGAATTGCTTTTTCCTGTATGACCAACATTATAAAGAGGCTTCATTGCATTTATGTATTTTGAATGGGACTGCCTTTAGACTGGAGCCTTGGTGGCACAGTGGTTAAGAACTTGGCTGCTAACCAAAAGGTTGGCAGTTCAAATCCACCAACCACTCCTTGGAAACCCTCTAGGACAGTTCTACTCTGGGTTGCTATGAGTTGGAACCAAACTCGACGGCACCTAACAACAACCTTGAGACTACCCTTATTATAGCATTTACATTTCATATCATAACTACATGCAAATTAAAAAAATACAATTTATAAGTAAATCCTGGTATCCTGAAGACATAAGTAGAAAATGTTTCCCAGCTCGGGTTCTGAGAAGCCACGTGGTGAGAGACCTAGAAGCTGGGCCCTTTGAAAGAAAGGCAAGTAAGCTGTGAAAGCTGGAGTTACATGGTCTTGTGTCCCTCAGAGAGAGAGAGACGTCTGGGAGAGCCCTGGGGAGAGGAAGAGGTTAATACAGCAGAAATGAAATTCGGAGTCTAACAGACAAAGTTAGGAAATTTTAAGGGTTTAATTCATCAGGTGGTATTTTTGCACCCTTATTCTTTGTACCAAAGAAAACCAAACCAAACCCATTGCTGTTGAGTTGAGTCCAACTCATAGCGACCCTGTAGGGCAGGATGGAACTGCCCCATAGGGTTTCCAAGGAGTGGCTGGTGGATTTGAACTGCCAACCTTTTGGTCAGCAGCCAAGCTCTTAACCACTGCACCAGCAGGGCTGCTTATTGTTGGGAGAGCCCTGAATTTGCCCCTGGTTAGAATCGTCAGAAGAAAAAGAGAAGCAGCTGGGTATAGTGGAGAGGATGAGGGCCTTGGAGGCAGATGGTCCAAGGTTTGAACTCCTGCTCCACTACTTGCTAGCTGGACGGCTGTGGGCAAACAACTTCACCTCTCTGACCCTCAGTGTCTTCATCTGTAAAATGTGAGAAACAATAGATGCTGCTCAGAGTTGTGGAGAGGTTAAATGAGATGATGTCTGTAAAGTGTCTGGCATATATTAAACCAGAAACCAAACCTATTACCGTCGAGATGATTCCGACTCAGAGCGACCCTATAGGACAGAGTAGAACTGCCCCATAGGGTTTCCAAGGAGTGGCTAGTGGATTCGAACTGCTGACCTTTTGGTTAGCAGCTGAGCTTTTAACCACTGTGCCTCCAGGGCTCCCTGGTATATATTAGGCACAATAAATATTTGCTTTCTTTTTCCTTGGCTGTGTCACATGCTACCTGTCTTCAGATAAGTCCCTTTACTTGCTGAGCTTCAGCTTCCTTGCCTGTGAAATGGAATGAATGTGCATATGCCAGTATGTAATACGTGCAACAGGTAGGGTTCTGAAAACACAAAATAGACACGGCCTTGTCTTTCAAGAAATTTTATTTCATATACTAATATATTTAAAGTATCTTGAATTATATTATTGCAAGCTTTTTTTTTCCCCCAGTACTATAAGGCCCTCGGAAAATGCTATGGCCTTTCGCATCCCCAGTAAATATTTGTAATAAGAATGAATGAGTGAATGAGTGAATGAGTTGGTAAGTGAAGATTGAAAACATTCCTACTGAAAGTCAAGACGGGCAGCTTTTTTAGAGAATAGGCCTCTTGAGGCCAAAGTTGGGAATTCATTCCCTTTGCAGGTTATATTTAGGTTTTATGGAAAATGTTGACTTCTGTACCCACAAGTTGTAGTGCTGGCCCAGCCAACTGTCTTTATGAATTTATGTCATTAGTTGCTAGAGAAGCAGGGTGAAAGTGCAAACCCATTACTTTTTCTGGCAAAATAATTCTAACCACAGATGTACTGTAGCATTATTTTAATTGTGATGGAAGCTGTAGGGTCCAACATAGTAGTGAATGCCCTCTTCCCACTTTGTAACCTATGAATTGCATATTTATTTTTAATTTGAATAAATCTTTTCTATAATTGGAAATTCCTTATATGGTAGAAGCAAAAATGCTAGTTTCCCACTTAAGTGAAAAAAACAAAAACAAAAAACAACCCATTGCGTTGAGTCGATTTCAACTCATAGTGACCCTATAGCACAGAGTAGAACTGCTCCATAGGGTTTCCAAGGAGTGGCTTGTGGATTTGAACTGCCAACCTTTTAGTTAGCCGCTGAGCTTTTAACCACTGCGCCACCAGGGCTCCAACCACTCAGCCACAAAATGTTTACTTAATCACTCATGTTTTTGGAGTAAACATTATTGAAATATACCACACATGCAAAGAAATACACGGATCACAAGTGCATAGCTCAGTGAAGTTTCACATTGTGAACATACCCATGTAACTGGAACGCAGATCAAGAGACAGGACATAACAAACGACTCAGTAGCCTCACCTTTTCCAGTTACTGCTCAAACTGACTACCTCCTTCCACCACCCACAGGGATACACATGGCCTTGACTTCAGCAGGGATTTGTTTTGCAAGACTCACCCATGTTGTTGTGTGTAGTGTAGTTCATTGTTCATTCATTCTCATTACTGTGTAGTACCTCATTGTGTGAGTTTACTTTCCATTCTACTGATGAATATTTGAATGGCTTCTACTTGTTGCCCATTACTACTTTTACTTTGTTCTCTTGTAGTTGATGTTTTATATATGAAAGTTCCATTTGCTTTGAGACTATAATCTTGGTTCGTGGACCTTTAGGCATGTCAGGAAACCAGCAGGTCCTTCCTGAGGCTTAAAGGTCTTCCTGCAAGAGGGTGGTACCACAGATCGCTAATTGTTACTCTCCTTTGGTTGACTCAGTTTTTCTCTTTGCCTGGTGCTCTGACCTTCTCTTTCTTTCTGTCTCCCTTTGGTCTAGTCATCTCTACACAAGGTGAAAGAGTCCAGCCCATTGATCAGTAGAAAAATCTCTGATAAAGTGCACTTCCGGGCCATTCAGAGTGAATCTTCAGATACTTTTAGCGACCCGTCCCCCACGTTGGCTGGGGATACCCCTGAGCAGCCACTTTTAGACCAGAATAAGCCTCCGACTGAAATGCAGTTTGTGAACGAAGATGTTGAGGCCTTGGGAGCAGCAGCCCCGCCTTTACCTACGAGCGAAGAACACAAGCCCCCCTCTGCCAGTTTAGCCCAGACAGCAAGCAAGACAGACTCTCCCTCTAGGAAAAAAGGTATAAAGGCTGGGACTTCCAACTTTTTTCTGTGCACATTTTGTATTTTGCAAATTACAATTCTTCGTTTCAAAGTTCAGAGTAAATCAAAGTAGAAGCTGAACCATGGCATCTGTCATGGCCAACCTGTGCTCTTTTGCTGAATATATTGATTTTCAGAATTTAGTCATAGGAAGTCAGACCTATGGAGGCCTTGGGGGTCATGTAGTAAACCTCCTCATTTTACAGACTGGGAACACTGACAGCCAGAGGAGCTAATGTCTCAAAGCTATCGGGCAGAAGTCCTCTTCATCACACTATGCATGGGACACCATAAAAAGTGAAGTTTAGAAAGGTGGTTATTACACTAATCTTGGTCCTGTGTCCTCTTGCCCCTAGTCAGTCTCTGGCCCATTATCCTGTTTTAGTTTCTCATACCATTTGTCACTATTTCAGACGATCATTTATTTGTCTGTATTTTCTCCTGACTGCACCTACTAGAATGTATGCTCCATGAGATCAGGATCTTTCCTGGCCAGTTCACCTTTGTATCCTGGTGCTTACAACAGTGGTTGGCGCGTAGCAGTGCACCATGGATGTTTCATGAACTCGTTGAGTGTCAGTAGTGATGATGTCAAGCCTAGTTTTTGTGAGCCAGGTAGCTTTGTGCAGCTTTCTAGATTTGAATGAACCAACCACATAATGCTCTGCAGGAGTAAAGAAGAAATCTGAAATCACGGTGTTCAGTGACTGACGACACTGTGCAGTTTAGGGTGCTGTACTTGAAGTATTGATGGGGAAGTGCCAACTGAACTCTTTTATCATTAAATAATAATGATAATAATAGTAATAGCTTCAACATAATTGCGTGCTTAGTATACTTTAGGAGTTTTACTGATGAGAAACTGAGGCTCAGCCCAATTAAGCCACGTGATCAAGGTCCCACAGTTAGGGAGTGATGGAGCCAGTATGCGAACCCGGGCAGTCTGACTCTAGTCATCTGTGCTGCTGACTTCTAATTCCTGGGCTTCTGGGCCAGTTTGGATGTTTCTGAGCAAATTTTCACATTGTGCTTAAATGCTGTTTCTAAAGACACTCAGAAGCCTATGAGTTTGTTTCTAGAAGAATGGTTCTCTGACTTGATCCATTTATCCTTTAATTTAGATAAACGAAGCAGACATCTTGGTGCCGACGGCGTCTACTTGGATGACCTCACAGATATGGATCCGGAAGTGGCTGCCTTGTATTTTCCCAAAAAGTAACATTTTCTTTTTATTCCTCATGTCATTTCCTATAGTCTGAAAGTTATTCTGTGGGACAGTTTTTTTTCTCATCGATTAGAACCCTAATAAGAAAAGGCAGTGAGAAGCTGACATTTTACCATGAAAAGCACCCAGTGGGAAGGACTGACACCGTATGTGTACTTGTATGCACGTCTCCCTGTGTGTGCATGCACGTGGCTGGCTCTCCACCTTTAGAACAGGCGCGGTCGGGCGCCAGGCTGTCTCCCACCATGAGCCTCAGGTTTTATCTGCTGTGGTCATTGCACTATTGTCCAAATAATCATCAGAAAGTGGGCAGCTGCACAGTCCTGCTCCCTCTCCAGGAGAGAGATTCTCCTGTGGTCCTTGGGGTCTCATCTTCAGCTCATCCTTAGGACAGTTTGCTTTGTCTTTAGTTTATTTCTCATGGGCTTGGGAGGGGATACAAGGCAGAGTCAACAGCTAAAAATAATTATCCCTGCTAAGGTGAATTTATTTTACTTCTCTTTCTTTGTTATGGTGCTTTAATGAAATTCTGTCCGGAGAGGACATAATTTGCTCCTCTAAGGCACAGCAGATTGCTAGAGAGTAATTTGATGTCTATGTAAGACCCCTCCCCCCAAAAGAAAATTCTCATAACATCCTCCATTTTTTCTCCTCCCAGTGGAGATCCTTCTGGGCTCGCCAAACACGCCAGTGACGTTGGAGCCCGGTCAGCCAACCAGTCACCTCAGTCCGTGGGCAGTTCTGGCATTGACAGTGGTGTGGAGAGCACCTCGGACGGCATGAGGGACCTGCCATCCATTGCCATCTCCCTCTGCGGGGGCCTCAGTGACAACAGGGAGATCACTAAAGGTACTGCCGCTGCAGGGTTGGATCTGGTTTTTAAGCCAAGAGCACCCTCTTGCGGCCATTGGTCAGAACTTTCAGAAACCGGTTTAGGTTTCTATAAGTAACGCAGTTCATTTCAAAAGTAGCTTTTCATTTGTAGCACAAATGACTTACTGTTCCTTCATGATCCAAATGTTTCAGGTCTGCGGTTAGCTGACCTCAGAGTTCTATTGATCGTACATGGCTTCAGGTAACAACAAAGCCACTGGGGTTAGTGTGGGCGTATTCAGCCGTTCATGGTGAGGCAGTGTGGTGAGCACTGTTGTGTCTCCTGAGCCCCATGCCAGTCATACAAAGGTGTCTTTCCAGAGTCTGCAGGCTAGTGGGAACATCAGTCTTATGAAAGAACAGTGCTTTGGAAGTGTGTGAAAAATGCCATGGGGTCTTGGAGGAGAGAGGGAGGTCTGAGTTTGCCGGAGGAAGTCTGGGAACACTTCACAGTTGGACTTGAGGGGTACTGTTGGGGTTGGCTTAGGTGATTCGTTAATTCATAGCATCTACCATATTTGTAACAATGATTTTCCCAGTGTCTCCTGACAGTTCCATGGTGATGTACACCAGAGACTCCTAGTTAACACAGTCAACAATTTCAGCTGATGAACTCTTTGACTAGACCTGGCTGCCCTGTAACCCCTCCCTCACCCCCTTATACCACCATGCTTCTCTCTTTTTCATTCCTTCATAGCCTGTATTTCTGGCAGGAATGGGGCCAAGGTTGTGTATGTCTTCTTTGTGCCACTCGTGAGCTACCACTATTTTTTCCTTCCTGCAAGGGCTGTCATCATAGACTCCTGTCCCCATTCTGAAGTCACTTCAAAGCTCTGTGAATTTCTTCTTGCACGAACGTTGGGGCCTCTTGTTCTGGTGCCTGTACCAGTTAACCCTCACAGAGGATGAACTGTAACAAGGTTACTTGCTTAGTGGATCCAGTTGATATAGTCTATTTCATAAAGTCTTTCTAAGACTAACAACCCAGTCTATGTTTCCAGTTCTCCGGCACTGCTTTGAGGTCTTTAAGTGGCAAGCATTCTCTTTACTAGTTGTGTGAAGAGGCCGGTGTCCCATTGGCACCCCCCCGCCACAACACACAGACAGAGCTGGGTGACGATGGGGGTGGCAGCACTGACCCGACAGGGTGTAGTTATCTGAGTATCATCTCACAGGGTTTGCACATCTGTGACTGCCCTGGTCATACAGATGAGGCCGTATTCTCATGGCCAAGAAAGAGCCTTTAAGGAGAGTACCTAGCAGTCTAAATTAGGATTCCAAAGGTACATGTTGAGGCCAGTCTGGGTTGGCATCATGACCAAGGAGCTTTTTTTCCTTAGACAGGGGTGATTCTCAGTATTTAGTATTTGCTGTGTCTTGGGTTTCATTCCAGGTAAATAGGATCTCCCCAGGGAAATAAACCTGTTGCTGTTGAATCGATTCCAACCCATAGCGACCCTATAGTACAGAGTAGAACTGCCCTGTAGGATTTCCAAGGAGCGGCTGGTGGATTCGAACTGGTGACCTTTTGGTTAGCAGCCATAGTTCACTGTGGCTCTTAAACACTGTGCCACCAGGGAAGCGGTAGATTTGAACTGCCGACTTCTTGGTTAGCAGCCAAGCTCTTAACCACTGTGCCCCCAGGGCTCCTTAATAATTAGGGCCAGGGAGATGGCCAGAGCCCCAGTCAAGGTTTAAGACATGGCCCAGCTCAATGGGGGAAGTAGAGTGGACACCAAGGCCTTAGCCGAAAGCTCTTTACAGAACCTGGGTTACAGGGTTGAGGACCAGGGCCTCAATGTGGAGCACTGAGAATACTGTGCTTGCTGGTGGGAGAGCGCTTCTAACACCTGCCACTTTCTCATCTGCCCTGCAGTTGGTGGGGCTGCCTTTGCAGTGAGGCTGCACAGGATCAGCCAGGCAGGGGCTTCCTCTGCCTCCAGCTTATTACAGGTGACAGTAATGATCTTCACAGCTGCTAACATTTGTTGAGCCCTTACTTTAGGCAGGGCACTGCCCTCTACATTCATTACCTTGTCAATCCTCACAACAACCCTAGGAAGCAGACATAATTATTATTCATTCTGCAGACGAGGGAACTGAGACTTGAGGAGATGAATCACTTGCTCTCAAGGTCACACCAATAAATGTGACTTAAACCTAGGGAGTCTGTCTTCAGAGCTCTGCTTAACTGTTAACCTACTTCTATAGATGCATATGTTGCTATATTTTCCACACACCTACTCCCTGCATCCCCTCACATCTTCAGACATTGCCCCAGCCACCCTTCCTTTGTACACAGACACTACCCCAAAACAAACTGAAGCCCCCTTTACAACTACCTTTTATAGAATTGTCCATACAATTGGAATGCATGAACTCTCAGAAAACGTTAGTGAATGAAAATGAAAAATGTGCCCGTTTTTTAACCTAATTTCCTTTTTTTGTTTTTTCCGGTATCCCCTATGATTGCTTTTACAGATGCATTTTTGGAACAAGCCGTGTCATATCAACAGTTTGTGGATAACCCTGCTATCATCGATGACCCCAATCTTGTGGTAAAGATTGGCAATAAGTAAGTACCTCCCAAAAGTCGTTTTGGCAGTAGCATGATGCATTTTTTTAAATACAGAGACCCAGGCATTAAACCTTAAAATATATATAAAATAAAGTATTCGTTAAAATTAAATTATTGTCTCTTCACTTTTGGCAAAATTTTGTATTCTTATATAGTTGGTAGGCTGAGGTATAGATAGATCTTGTGGATTTTAGCATACATCTGTACTAGATTTTATAATTGAGTGTGTGAAGTCACAATGCCTGGCTTGAGGGACTTAGACCCCATATGTTGTTGTTGTTAGATGCCATCGAGTCAGTTCTGACTTATAGCGACCCTGTGTACAATAGAATGAAACACTGCCCAGTCCTGCACCATCCTCACAATTGTTGTTATGCTTGAGCCCATTGTTGCAGCCACTGTGTCAGTCCGTCTCGGTGAGGGTCTGCCTCTTTTTCGATGACCCTTTACTTTACCAAGCATGATGGCTGCCTTTCCTCCAAAAGTGGCAAGAAATACCATAAACACGTGGGTGGTTTGAGGCAGCAACAGCACAGTGGAGTTTGGGCTGCTCTCCAGCTACCTGCTGGTGTCTCCTGGCAGGTCTGACTATCTGAGCTCATGCCATGGCGTTGCTTGGCCTCTTAATGTAGCCACTGTGGGGTTAGGTGGAGATGGGAAGCCACTGGCAAGGGCTGGGTATGTGGGGGAGGGCTGGGAGATGTTAGAAACAGTGTTGGTCTCTTTAAGGACCTACCTGGAGTTCCAGAGCTTTCCTTGAGTGCTTCTCATGACTTATAAAGATTTTCAGCCTGTGCCTTGATCTTTTGACATCTCTTTCATTTTTTTCTCCCATGCTAGATATTATAATTGGATGACAGCAGCACCTCTACTCCTGGCAATGCAGGCCTTCCAGAAACCTTTGCCAAAGGTGAGCTTTAACATGAGAAAGAAAGGGGATGGTAAGAATGATGAGTGGATTAATATGGGCAGTTGGAATTTAACTTTTATTTTGGAACCCACAAAGTCAGGTACACTATGCTATTTTGAAGTTCATGGGCATATACTTGAGGAGTTTCAAATCTGTCTTTTTTGCACCTTGAATGCCCTCCTCCTTACCCAGGAAAAACCTACCAATCTTGGCAACACTGGACCAAGTCCCTCCTCCTCCATGATTCTTTCCTTAACACCGTGCTAGGGACACAGGTGGGAATAGAGAAGATGGATGGCAGGATGGTCAGAGCCAAGTGATAATGCAGAGAGAAGGGGCTCACAGTTGAAGGGGCGGAGCAGCCAGAGGGTTTGGGTACAGGGAGGCAGCACATCAGACACCAAAAGCCAGCACTAGTGTCAGGTGTTGTCTCGGCCAGGAAGAAAGCTACATCATGTCTGCTTCTCTGAGGGAGGTGCCAGAACAGGGTCTGGGCAGCTCATAACCTGCACATGAGAGTAGATAAATATTGCAAGGAAGAGTTTTGTAATTTTTTGGTAAAGGTCTTATACTTCTTTATTAGTTTTTTTTTTTTTTTTTTAGGGTACCTATAATTTCCCCTGTCCCCCTATTGTGATAGCATCTTTTTATATTTTGAAGCTATGTTTTTTGGTCTTTATGAGTTCAGAATTGTTATAGCACCCTGCTGGAATCTTCCTTTATCATTATGTAGTGATCTCTTTATCTATAAAATGCTTTTTGCCTTAAAATCTATTTTGTATTATATTAGTTTAGCCATACTGGCTTTCTTCTGAGTATTATTTCACTGGTGTGCCTTTTCCTATCTGTTTATTTGTACTCCTCTTTGTTCTTACATTTTAAAAGCGCCTCCTGTGAACACCATATAGTGGATGTTTAGGAGATAAAATTATGAATATCTGTCTTTTAACTGGTATGTTTAATTCATTTACATTTATTGTAAATACTGATGTGTTTGGATTTATTGCTATCCTTTTTTGTGCTTTTTAAACCATCCTCCTCCCACTTCTCCTTTTGCTTTATTTTCCTTTCTTTTCTGTTTTCTATTGGACAGATCAAGTTTTATTTAATCAAGTTAATCCTCTTTTTTTTGTTTGGGCTTTTGTGTATTTTAGAGATTATTATTAAATTTTCTTGATAAGCCTAATTTACATAGAGTCTAAAGATAATCAGCATACCTTTTTTTTATAACTAATATAAGAACTTGGGCCATGTTAACTGATTCCATTTTCATTTTACCTGTAATTATTACTCAGTATTTGAGTTCTACCTCGTTTATAAATCTCCCTAAAATAGTCACCATTGTTGGCATGGCTTTATAGGATCAGTGCTTGATTAGATTTATCCCTGTGCTTTATCAGTTTCTCTGCTCACCATTGTTGATTGCATCTAACTTCTTCCTGTTAGGTTTAAGTTCTTTTTCCAGAAATACATCCTTAGTACCTTCAGTAAGGGTTTGTGAGTAGTAAGGCTCTCTCACTGTTTTGTTTGACAAACTTTAGCAATATTGTCCCTTGACTTTGTCATTGTTGGTAACCGCTATTCCTCGGTAGTCTAAATTTCAAATATCTCATTATCTTGCTACCACTTCCTAACTTTCTGGTTTACTTCATCTAGTGCCTCAACTCCAACAATCCTTGCATACCTCCAGGACTTTGAATCTATTTATTCTACCACCTTTTCACTGTCTCACCACCTCTAGTCCTTTTTTCCCTCCTTTCGCAGCTTAAATTCCATGGCCGAGCATTATAATAATTTCTCTTGAATATCCTTTAAACTCTCTTGCCCGCTCTCACGTTATCATACTTCTTGGCTAAATCACAGTCTTGGTTGATTTTTTTCTCCTATTCCATACCTGTCCAAGTGCAACTGGCTAAAGTAAAACATACCATACCATGCCGAATGGGTCAAGTGACCCCTAATGCTGTCTTGCTGCCATAGTCCGTTTACTCTTCAGCTTTCCTAGATGATTGTTTTACACTTGTCTCTCCTCAAATCTCCAACATTGCCTTCCGTTTCTTACTCACTGCTGATGACCTCGCTCCTGTTTCACTGAGAAAACTGAAGCCATCAGAAGAAAACTTCCACTATATCTACCCCCTACCTACATCTGTGTACACTGTCTTGTCTCCTGTTAATGATGAGCTTTCAGTGCTTCACAGTAAGGCCATCATTCCCACTTGGGCACTACTCCAGCAATTCTCCCCTCTCTCTTCTGCATCATCAATATTTGTCTCTTTGCTATATGAATACCATTGGCATATATATTCTATTAGTTGTCTCATCCCTTCAAAGCACTCTGTTAACCCCACTACCATCCTAATTCTTTTCTTTCTTTTATAGCAAGACTCTTTGAAGACTTGCTATACTTGCTGCCTCCAATTTCTCTTCTCTGGAACCCACTTCAGTCAATATTTTGCCCTCATTACATCACCAGAAACACTTTTGTCAAGGTCACCAGTGACCTCCATGTTGATAAATACAATAGTCAGTTTTCAGATCTGATCTTACTTGACCTATCAGCAGCATTTGACCCAGATAATCACTCTTCCTCGGGACACTTTTTTTACGTGACTTTCAGGTGAAAACTCCTGCTTACTTTCCTACCTCTCAGGCCACCTCTCTATCTGCTTTGCTGATTCTTAGCTTCCATACCTCTAAATGTTGGAATTCCCAGTACCTCTATATGGGTAGAGTGGGCTGTCATTGAAGAATTTTGGGAAGAGTGACATGATCTGTATCATGTCACATTGGTTGTTATGTTAATAATAGACTGAAGGGGGGAAGAGAGAAGAAGGGAGATGAGGTAGGCATCTACTGTAATACCCAGGTGAAAGGTGATGATGATTGAGAGAAGTGGTCAGATTCTAGCTGTATTCAGATCAGATTTGGGGATGCTGTTTGACTCATCTATTAGGTACCTGAACAAAGATAATTGATTAGGCAGCTAGATTTTTTGTCACACTTAGAATGTCTCTGCTTCCCAATTTCCAAAAATTATAAAAATGTACCCCCATATTTTCTTCTAGTACTTTCTTTTATTTTAAATCTTTGATCCATCTGGATTTTATTTTGGGGGTAATGAGTGAGTTTGACCCATCTAGATTTTATTTTGAGGATAGTGAGCAAGGAATAAGAAACCAACAATTTTTTCCAGCTGGCTATTGAATCAGTTAGAATGCTTTTTTTTGTTGCAGGAAGCAGTGACTAAAAGTGGTTTAAATTATAGGAGTTTATTTTCTTACCTAATAAGAATCCTAGAGGTCAGAGGTTTCAGGTTTGATTAATTTGGGTTAGCATTTATGTGATTTTCTTGAGTTTCCTTTATGGTCACAAGATGATTCTGCCACACATCATTACCTCATACAACCACATCCAAAATAGGAAGGATGTGGGCGGACTTCCCATATTTCATTGGCCATAAAGGACACATTGTCACCCCTGAACCGGTTGTTGACAAAGCAATAGAATGACTATGAGTGGCCTCATCCAACCAAAGTTCATTCTTTGGGCTTGAGCCTGTCTTCCCTGAACATATTACAGCCAGACTCCTGAACAGTTTAGGATCTGTTGGCAAGAAAGAAAGGGGATAATGTGTACAGAAAGGCAACTAACAAAGTCCTCCACTCAATTACCCTAATAAACCCAAAAACCAAATCCGTTGCTGTGGAGTCGATACCAACTCATAGCAACCCTACAGGGTGTCCAAGGCTGTAAATCTTTATGGAAGCAGACTGCCACTTCTTTCTCCCATGGAGCGGCTGGTGGGTTCAAATCGCCAACCTTTAGTTAGCAGCTGACCACTTTAACCACTGTGCCAGCAGCCCAAAAAAACCCAACCCTTTCTGTTGAGTCAATTCCGGCTCATAGCAACCCCATCGGAGACAGTAGAGCTGCCCAATAGGGTTTCCAGGGAGCGGCTGGTGGATTTGAACTGCTGACTTTTGTTTAGCAGCCGAGCTCTTAACCACTGTGCCACCAGGACTCCAGTTATCCTAATATCATGTATTAAATAATGCTTTCTCCCACTGATAGATAATTACAACTTTATCATATATTAAATTTTTCTATGAACTCAGATTTATTTCTGGACTTTCTCTTCTGTTCCATTAATGTGTTTATTTATGTACTGATACTGCATTCTTTTAATTACTGTAGTTTTTAAACATGTTTTAATACCTGCTAAGACTTGTCCCTACTCATTATTCTTCTGTTTCACAATTTTCTTGGCTATTCTTTTTGTTTGTTTCTCCAAATGAACTTTCGATTCAGTTTTCTAGTCTGAAAATAATCTTATTAGTTTTGTTTTGTTTTTTTTTTTCCTTTTTTAAAAATTGGAGTTGTATTATATTTATAGGTGACTTTTAGGGGGAGTAGGGGAATTGACATCTTTATGAATTCTCCTGTTTGCATTTTCTTATATTCAAGGTTTTCTTTTGTGCCAGGGATGTTTTAAATGATGAAAAGAAGCACACTTAGACTAAATATGTGAATTATTTACCTGTCTGTCTGCAACCTGTTAAGTTGAAAGACTTAAATCTTTCTTTCATTACTAGCTGAGGTTTCCGCTACTTGATAGCTCTGTGAACTAGGGAGGAGGAATTAGATAACATTTACCCTGTCCTGGAATTAGCCTGCAAGATAGATGTCTTGTCTTTTGGAAATGCTTAGAAAATTATTAATACTTAATCTTTCCCCATCAAACTTCCATTTATTTTAAGGTGAAAGGCTAGGAGTCTGAATTTTTAATATTTGAGATTTTAAGTCAAATGCATCTATTAATATTCAGTTTATAAAAATTTAGAAGTTTGCACTTACTAAAAAGATCCTGTGCATTTTACATTTTGTTTAAAACTTTTATCCTATACTCCATGTTAATCATTTCATTGTTAATCATTTCATTTTTTATTTTATAATCATATTGAGGGTGACAGTTAATACCTTAACCTGTAAGCTACTTTAATTTGAAAATGTGTGGCCTTACTAGTCACTAATGATATTTAATGCTGTCTTATTTTTTTTTTCCTTGTTGTTGTGTTGTATTTTATTTGTTGTTTGTTTTTTCCTTTAACATCTTCTTAAGTCTTCATGCTTAAGTTACCTTAATGTAATTTTGGACACCATTAGGTTTTGCTTCTCTAAAATTTTTAATCCACAAACAGTATGTTGTATTTCCTCTGATTTTCTTTTAATATTACTTTAATTTGCATGTGTGTTTCTTTTGGTTTGAATGTGCTAAGTTGATCTTTGGTTCCATTATTTATGTTACCATCCATTTAAAACAGGCCACTGTGGAGTCTATCATGAGGGATAAGATGCCCAAAAAGGGAGGAAGATGGTGGTTTTCATGGAGGGGAAGAAATACCACAATCAAAGAGGTAAGCACAGAACACAAAGCAGTGTCTCTGCTTAGCTTAGCAGATTTAGGTTTTGTGCTGTGAAGTTTATGTTTTCATGCTCTCATGTCAGAAAAATAAGCATAAGCAATGATACTGAGTTTTCATGAGCCACGTCTGCCGCAGAGTAAGGAAAGGCATCCCAGAATGTGAGGAAGGTAGAAAAGAAGAGTCAACAGAGAGCTGGGCCCATCCCCTGGCTCTGTTACCTCTTAACCTTGAGCCCATGGTCACGTCACCCATCCCTGCAACATTTCTTCATCTGTAAAAAGAAGGGTTTCAACTTGATAATTATCAGAGTCTTTCAGCTTTCTTTTTTTTTTTTAAGTTAAATATCCTCCTATTTCTTATGAGGATAGTCTTAATGAGATATATTTAGAGTGGTAGACTATTCTCATTTGCCATTTCATTTAAATGACATGTCTAAATATACATGGCTTTGGTTTCCAGCTATATAAATGCCTCTCTATATATATGTATATATATGTGTGTGTGTGTATATATATATATATATATTTCTCACCACCCCCCGCCCCAGGTCTCTTCTTTGTTGACCTCTTAAGCTCTTTCTTGAAACACTTTCTTCACCTGGCTTCCATACCACTGTGTTCACCTGGTTTTCCTCTTCCCTCTCCAGCTGTCTGTCTTCTGGCTCAGCTCCCTCTATAAGGCCATTTAATTTTGGAGTTCCTCAAGGGTTATTTTAGAGCCTTCCCTTCTGTTTTTACTTTACTCCTTATATTTTCCCTAGGCAGTCTCACCCATGCCCATGCTGATGACTCCATTTTTATTTCCAAACTAAACACTCTTTTTTTACTTCAGGTCCATTTATCAAATAGGCAGCTAGGTAGACATTTCCACATGGATGCTTCAAAGACACTTCAAATTATCATTTCTAAAACTGAACTCCAATATTCTTATGGGTTCTTCCTTTGCTGGTGCCATAGTCAGAAAATGGTGTCACCATCCATCAATAGGCTCGCTACTTCTAGACTCATTCTTTTTCTCACTCCCCACATTCAACCCATCACCAGCCTATTAATTTACTGCCCTAAATATTTCTCAGATTTGTCCATTTCTCTCCATCTCCATCTTCACAAATCTAGGCTACCTCCATTTTTCCCACTAATGCTTCTTAATGGTCTATTTGTATCCACTTTTGCCCTTTCTTCTTCATTCTCTGAACTGTAGTTGGATTCATCTATTTAGGATACCAGTCTAATTTATGTAACTTCCTGCTTGAAACCTTTTTGAGGACTCTTATAATTAAGCTTGACATTGTCAAGGATTTCATTTTACTTGGATCCACAATCAATGCCTATGGAACCAGAAGTCAGGAAATCAGGTGATGTATTGCATTGGGCAAATCTGCTGCAAAAGACCTCTTTAAAGTGTTAAAACGCAAAGATATCACTTTAAGGACTAAGGTACCCCTAACCCAAGCCATGGTATTTTCAACTGCCTCGTATGCATGCGAAAGCTGGACAATGCATAAGGAAGACCGAAGAAGAATCGATGCATTTGAATTATGGCTTTGGCGAAGAATGTTGAATATAGGACTGCTAAAAGAATGAACAAATCTGTCTTGGAAGAAGTACAGCCAGGATGCTCCTTGGAAGCAAGGATGGCAAGACTTCATCTCACGTACTTTGGACATGTTGTCAGGAGGGACCAGTCCCTGGAGAAGGACATCATGCTTGGTAAAGTAGAGGGTCAGCGAAAAAGAGGAAGACCCTCAATGAAATGGATTGAAACACTGGCTGCAACAGTAGGCTCAAACAGAACGATTATGAGGATGACGTAGGACCAGGCACTGTTTCGTTCTGTTGTACATAGGGTCGCTATGAGTTGGAGCCGTCTGGACGGCGTCTAACAATAACATAATTAAGAGTGGTCTACTGGACTTGCGTATTCTAGTCCCTGCCTCTTTAGCCTCATCTTTTGCCATTCTCCTCCTGCTCTCTGAGCTTTAGCTTCACTGGCTGAAAGTATAGTTCTATGCCAAGGCCTTTGCATATGTTATTTTCTCTGCCGAGTGTTCTTAGGACTCCTCTCATCCCTCTTCACTTAATTAACTAGCTGCTCAAATGGCCCTTTCTTAGCAGATTAGTCTGCTGTCATAGTCCTATGAAGCATTCCTTCACATATCTTGCCTGAGTTTATAGTTATACATTTATTAGTGTGACTGTTTAATCAATGTTTCTTTTCCCCTCTAGAACATCAGTTCCATGAAGTCAGAGATTATATATGGCTTTGATCCCTGTGGTATCCCTGGTGCCCATAATGGAACCAGGGAAGGGGCTTGGCAAATTTTGTTGAGGATGTTTTTTTTGGAATGTAGCACGAAAAAACCACAAAGACAACAGTTAAGTTCTTATTGTAATAGTGAAAGAAACATCAGGGGAACTATATTTATTTATTCCATTAGTTCACCGGGAAAAAGTCTGTTGGAAGAGTTTAACCAAGAATATAGTTGTTCTCTAACATTTTCCGTTAACATCCCTGAATTTTACTGATTGACTTTTCTCCAAGGGGTATAAACAAGTTAAAGCAAATATGTATGCTTTGCTTTAGGGGACTTAAACCATAAAGGACCTTTCTGGTTTCCTTATTAAAGAGCAGAATGTTCTAGAATTTAAGACAGATGGATATTTCAAAGACATCTTTATTTAATGTCTTGCGTTGAGGGGAATGATACAATGAAATAAAGGGCCATTTATCAAATTAAATATTTATTGAAAGAAGTGAAATATTATTTGTTTGAGATAGATATATATTTTTGAACTAGCCCTATGAAAAATTGTCAATAGTGGTGGCTAAGTTACCTACCTCAATAATTAAAAAAACGACTGGATATTTTATCATAGCAACTGTGTGTTTAACTAAAGCTAAAATATATTTGAAGATAGTTTGTACTCATTATATGTTAAGAGCCACACCCACTGCCATCGAATTGATTCTGACTCACAGTGACCCTATAGGATTTCCGAGGTTGTAAATCTCTACGGAAGGAGATTGCCACATCTTTCTCCCGTGGAGCCGCTGGTGGTTTTGAACCGCTGACCATTCATTTAGCAGTCGATCTCTTTAACTATTGTGCCACCAGGCCTCCTTTATGTTAAGACAGTCACCCTGTTTTATATTATTCCTTTTCTTTATTTAAATAGTGCAGTAGAACATGTTAACCTATCTCTCCTGACCAGCGACCACAAACAATGAGATTCAGTCGTGTATCCTTTTCCCTTTGACCTTCCTATGTGGCCTTTAATTACTCACAGTGAAGCTTTTGGTGCTAGTGAGTATCTTCCTCCTCCCTCACCTGTGGTGTGCCAGGTGGTGTGCTTTATGTGGAGCATCAGCCTAGATCTTCGTAGCCACGTTGTGAGATTGAGATTATTGCTTCCGTTTTACAGATGTGGAAACCGGACTCTGAGATTAAATGACTTGCCCAGGGTTGATGAGTGAGAGATGCAGAATTGAGCCCTGTTCTCCTTTTAGAAATCCAAGGCCCTTTCCAGTTCATCAGAGGAGCATATTCTATTAAGAATATGTGGTTTTGAAAAAGCGAAAATACTTCCACATTTTTCCCAAGCAAAATATGGTGTGAAAATATTTGCAAGCATTTCTACCAGCAATTATAAGAAAATATTTTGAAAGCCCTTGGGTATCCAGGCAGCCCTTGATAAAGCATTTGCATGAGCTACAGTGAGTATGAAGTTTGGTTTGGTGCCACAAACACTTATGGATAACAGAGTCATTTCTGTCAAAAATATTTCTCAGCTTAATTGTATGTTTCTAAGCAAAGGAGTCACTAGGACCTGCCCAAATAGGCATCTCTGGAGCCTCCTGGGGCCACCCCTGGTGTGTATGCCACTGGGGAAGGGTCTGCCTTTGGGGACCCTACCCTGGGCCTTAGGGGAGCCCATTGTAGAACACGAGCTGTTGCTCAGGCCCTTTGTCTTTGGTGCTTTCCATGACTCTTTCTTTTCTTCTTCCCCAGGAAAGTAAGCCAGAGCAGTGCTTGGCTACAAAGGGCCACAGTACTGGAGAGCAGCCGTCACAGCTTAGCATGGCCACCAGGTACAGTGAGAGTCATCTTGGGATGTTATGCTCCGTTTGGAGCTGGGATGGTACAACTCCAGAGCCATGGCACGTGCCTGTTGGATGCTGATAGGATTCAGCAAGCAGCACAGGCCTTGCACCAAGCTGGACCCAGATGCCAGCTCTGACATTCACTCACTGACCTCAGCTATTTATTTAAATTGGTTTTCCTATCAATAAAATGGAGACAGTGGCTCCCTTAGATATCTAATTTACAGGGTAAATATAAGGCTTAAATGAGATAATGTAACTAGAGCACTTCTTATGGTTCTGGCATATGGTAGCCCTCAGGATGCAGAAGATAGTAATAAACAGCAGCAATAGCTTTAACAATGACGTGGAAATATAAGTAGCTCTGCTGAAGGAACTTGCCTTTATCTACAGTTTTAATACTTACCAGGACTCATGTTGATACTTTTCAAAGTATTGATGTGGATTCATATTAACTTGGCACAGGAGAGATTAAATTTTGATAATGCTGATTGCTATTAGTGGTGTGTTGTCTTTTGGTTAATCGATTTGTGTGGGATTGGAGGGTAACGTTACTCTAAAGACAATGCTATTATTCACTAACTGTGATGCTGATGGTACATGATGACACTGAGTGATCTCAGCGAATAATAGCTTGTACGTATCACCTCATTTTTACAGTATTCCATTGCTTAAGAAACCCAGGTATTGCCTTTCTTACTTAGCAGACAGAAAATGCTAGCAAATTCATTGAGGGCAAGATCCATATCTTAATCATTTTTGTATCCTGGAGGCAAGCCAATGCCTGACATATAGTAGGCATTTCATAGAAGTTGTTGAGCTATTGCTGAACTGGTAGATTTGCCCAGTATCATATGGTTAATTTATAGGAGAAGCAGGCTTAGATTTCAAGTCCTCTGACTCCTGGCCATAGCTCTAGATCTTAAACTGTTCTATTTCTAGGTTCAGATAGTTGCAGATAGAGACCCATGTACTACCTCAGGTGGCAAGTAGGAGAAAATATGATTTCTGTATTGTTGTCTATGGAGAAGAGTAGGCGATGAAGTGTGCAGAGCCAGGTAAGATTGTTTTCCAGTACGACTCTAAAGGGCCCGAGTCAGCTCTCGGTCGGGATATTGTCAAAGGAAAACCTATCTGTTTCACTTGGTGGTGCCCTGGGTAGTGTTACTTTCCACCTGATTCCTATCTCGTCCATTCTCTGGGGAAGGGCTTTCATGCAAGAATACTTGAGATACTTTTCCAACCTGGAATTTCAAGTTTGACTTTGAGTGAACTTGGAAGGGAGAAGGCAGGTGTTTTTAAGATGGTGAACAGGCCAGGAATGTATTGTCCTTTGAAAAGACCTATAAAGCAGCCAGGATACAGCCTGATACCCAGTGAGTATTCAGTAAGTGGTTGTTTAGCTCTAGTAGTGGGAGACAACTGGCAGTAATGGCACAGGCTTTGGAATCCAGCAGATCTGGTTTGGAATACTGGCTATGCACCTACTAACCATTTGACCTTAGACAGACTACTTACCATATCTGAGCAAAGGTACAAGTGTGATGTTAATGCACAGAGCAGCCAGGAGGAGGCTGTGACTGTACAGGAGATTGAATCTCTGAGAGGATTCACAAGCAAAGATGCAAAACTGTATGTTGTACGCAATTTAAACCGGAGGGTTCTAGCACTAGACATGTCCTCCTTTCTTGAAATTCTTGTAAAGAACCCTCTCGGTCCTATTACAATAACAATTTCCAAACTTGAGAGGTAGCATACAACAGGGACTTTGTGAGGCAACCTATGTAATTGTTGGCAAATCAGTCAGCCTCCTCAAGTGACCGTTTTTCTCGTCTGTGAAGTGGAGATAGGAATCATACCACACCACATGCATCATGGGTGCATTATGGGAAAGGTGATTATTTTACCTTCAGTCAAGAATGCAAAAGCCAGTGGGGTCCAGACAGGTGATGTGCCTGAGGTGGCTGTAGGTGAACAGTCAGGAGGGTGGATCTGTGGTGACCTGGAGGACACATTCTCAGTCTTTAAACCATTCCATTTCAAATGTTTTAAAAATCCTTTGTTGGCTAAACGAAAAATGTCTGCCAAATTCAGCCTGCGATATGCCCGTTTTGGACCTTTAAGATAGAGCTGAGGTTCAGAAATGTTTTAAAGGATTAGTATATGACTGTCAACTAGTACATTGTCCAGTATATAGAGGGCGTGCAAGAATGGAGCTGATGCTGCCATTGGTGTTATCACTCCTGTTATTACTTTCTGGCAGGAGCATGGGGTACCCAAGGAGGAAGCTGGGCAGGTTGAGGATGGAAGAGCAGCAACTTGGAACATCTATGGTTTATTTGAAGCGTTATGGATTTCCTTTCTAGCTGATGTAATCCAGTTCAAAGATTGACAATTTTTTTTCCCAGTTAATTTAAATATAAATATTTTAAGACTATTCACTATTCTGAATTAGTCATGCTATACTTCTATATTAAACCTAAGAAATGAAGCATTGCCTCTCGTGACAGTGAATTGAGATTTTGAAAAATATGAATATGAAGTTCTTCTGGGAAATGTAAACCTTTTTTATTTATACTAGCATCTTAGACTTTTAGTGTCCTTGAGAAATTATTAGACTCATGTAGTTGACTTAAAAAAAAAAAAAAGGTGTTGGCATGTTTTCCTAATTGACAGACTTGATTGATGGAACTGTCCCTAGAGTCCCATAATTGAGCAAACAGCTTGTCACCATACAAATAATTAAAATACCATTTGAAAAACATACACTGTGACAAGTGCTAGCTTAGATGTTGTTAACAGCTACTCTTCGGAACACAGATTTTCAAGTGATATGAGCCCTTTTGTTTTGTTTTGCTGCTTCTTGCAGAGACACTTTAAAGCAAGCCGCATTTAATGAGCTATTGGAAACGCAAGGGCCTCCAGAAACGGAGCCATTTTGTTTCACACTGAAGGTGGCAACTGCAAATGACCGTTTACTTGCCCTAAACTGAAACTATTCGCAGCCAGTCGTACAACTCCCATTTTAGTTTTTGTCTCTGTGTTTTCCTTTTGGTATTCCCTCAAACATGGCATGCTACACACATTTAGTTTTTTTTTAAAGCAACAGATGGAAATAACTGCTCTTCCGCTTTGCATCCACGTCCTCCCGGCAGAGGCACACATCAATCTGTTGTCGCTAAGAGCTTCAGTTCACATTTGGATCCCATTTCACTCAAAGCTGTTTTGTGGGAACATAAACATTTTCCTGTTCAGTGAGGCGGCCTGTAGCTCGGTTCTCCTTCTTTCCACCCAGGCATTTGTCAGGCCAGGTTTGCTCCATGACTGAAATGTCTAAAGCTGTCGAGTTGACTGACTCCTGGCGACCTCATGTATGTCAGAGTAGAATTGTGCTCCACAGGGTTTTCAATGACTGATTTTTTTTTTTGGAAGTGGATCACCAGGCCTTTCTTTGGTGGTACCTGTGGATGGTCTCAAATCAACCAACCTTTTGGTTACTAGCTGAGTACTTAACTTTGCAGCACCCAGGGGCTACTCCTTCTACAAACCAATGAGTTTTTGGTTCAGAAGAGCCAATATTTTCATAGGCTGCTCAGATGTCAGAACTGGAAGGACTTTTGTTGGAACATCTAATTCTATGGATGAACCTACTGAGGCCAAGAGAGGAACTCTGTAGTTAGAAGGTCTTCCCTGGAACTCATGTCTCTCAGTCTGCTTCTTTCCAGGCTGTTATCTGCCTGTACCCTGAATTTTTTGGCGGGTGGTATACAATCTGTTCTGCATTTTAAGATAAGGAAGTCAAGGCTGGAAGAGAAAGGAGTGATTTGTTTATGGTAATACAGCCTGAAGTTACTAGCCACTGTTCAAACCTGGATTTTTCTGATGCTAAGTTATTCTACTGTATGTATAACCAGCCCACAATGACACGTGTGTTGTTTCATTATTCTTGTCACATGTAGCTTAGCCCTGCTGTGGACCAATCAGAATTCTAGCCTAAGATCCTTCTCATTCTACACAATCTCTCATTCCCATGGCTGTGTCCCAGTGATTGTCACATCTGCATCTTCAGCCCAGATTGTTCTGCATAGATGCAAATCCAAGTCCAGATGCTCTCATATTGTCCTCTGCTTCCCGTCATAGCACATGTCCTGCTGTGTTGTGATTATGTGGTTCATCTCCCTGCCAAACAAAAAGCCCTGTGAGAGTAGGGGCTGGTCTGTTTGCTCCGTCCTCAATGCCTGGCACAGTACGGAATAAGTATTGGTTGTGTGAGCTCCAGTCCACCAGCCCATAGCCTGCAGGTGCCCTCTCCTGGGCCCCGGAAGCAGGTGCTTAGGGCAGGATTGCACATTCTAGGAATGGAAACAGCTAGGTCTCCACATAAGATATGGCAGAAATAACACAGAACTGGGGACACTGTGTAACATGGGATAGTATTCGATGGTAGGAGTTGCTTCTTGAATGAACAAATATGGGGTAAGAAAGTGATAGATACATAGGAGATATCTGATAATTTTCTGGTAGTAGGGAAGGGAGACAAGGGGGAAAACAAGAGCCTGGAGAATAAGGATCTTAGCATCGGGAGGTAAGACTTACTGAGATAAAAAGACTAAATGGGCCCCTGTGGAAAGGGAAATCTTGCATAAAGGATGTGCTGAGCAGGAAGCTTTGCAGGAGGGCAGAGCACCTGAGGAGTTGGGGCGTGCCTACTTTGGGGGCCACTTGGCCTTTCCTATTTTGTTTAGCACTTTGTCAAAGTGTAAGACATTATTAAAGATATTGAAGCGATTTAACATTATTGAAGATACGGTCCCTAGGAAGTGGAGCTAGTACTATTGGGTTGGGGATTATGTCATAGCAGGATTTTAATATAGGGAATAATTAATTATTGATATACTTTATGTGAGCTATTTAAACAAAATGAAATGATTCTCACCCTGTACCCCCCTTTCCCCCTCAGCGTCCTTCTAAATGGAAAATTATAAAAGTTAGAAGCATTGCCCTATGGATTCTGTGCAGGCACATAAGGTGGTATTTGTTGCTCATGTGACAACTTGTGAAGAGTATTGCTTAGGGATTTTGGAGGAGGAGAATTCATTTTCACTGACACCTATTTGTATGTCCTAGAAATACCCTAATTATTTGGAATGGTGTAGTTAGTGAGAAGCCCTGGTGGTGCAGTGGTTAAGAACTCAGCTGCTAACCAGAAGGTCGGCAGTTCAAATCCACCAACCACTCCTTGGAAACCCTATGAGCCAGTTCTTCTCTGTCCTGTAGGGTTGCCATGAGTCAGAATCAACTCGACGGCAACAGGGTATAGTTAGAGAGATATGTGTAGCGAACTGATGAGTTCGGGCTGGTAGAAATTTGGATTTCTAGTGCTTAGCCTGCGGCCTCAGGCAGGGAAACTGAGAGGCAGAGCGTGTTTGGTAGCATCCTTCTGGGCCAGGAGGGAGTTTAATTCTACTTATCATGACTGGAAACCTATTGGTTTAAAATAGAGTGATGATAGCTAGTAAATAGGCAAGTGAATGAGGAGAGGCAGCCCCCAGATGAATAATGCAAGGGATGTATGAATGGGAATTGAGTGAGAGTTCATTGATAAATTTATTGCCATATGGTAAATGACCACCCAAGAGACAGTGCTCAGGAGAGACCCGATTGACTTAGTCATTGATTCTGGGCTAATGCATTTTTAATAGCTACCCAGATGCATCTTCTAATTGGTGATTACATCACTGTTTGTTCCAGAATAAAGCATGAATCATCCTCCAGTGATGAAGAGCATGCAGCTGCCAAGCCATCAAATGCGAGCCACCTCCCTCTTTTGTCTAATGTCAGCTACAAAAAGACTCTCCGGCTCACTTCAGAGCAGCTGGTGAGTCTCTTGTCTTCACCGCGGCTGTGTTTGTCAGTACTCGCCAAGTGACAGTCGGCAGGGTGTCGTATGTGTGATGGCCTGGATATTCCTCTCACTTTCTGAATCCCTCTTTTACGTCCTGGCACCTTTTATATCCCAGGGTACCTGCTACCCTCTGGCTACCTCCAACCCCTTCTTTTGGTACCCCATGTTTCCAGCTGCTCCCCATTGTAACGTCAGCACCCTATCTAGGCTGGCTCTTTAATATCACCTCTACTCTTGTCTTCCCTACCTCAGTACCAGAGGCTCTTTTTCCAAGTGTTGGGAGGAAAACAGTCTGATTAAACTAATTTATAGCGAAGTATAAATGAATGATAGGGTTTAAAAATCTCTCAGGGCTGTTTTTCCTTTGAGATGTTTGCTAGCTCAAACGCATCTCTTAAATTGGTGGAAATCAAGCAGTTGTGATGGGATTTAGAGAATTTCAGGTAGCAGCAGCCATCATCCAATCCCTCTTTGCTTATGTTAAGACCTGTTTTCATTAGTCCCAGTCCTTCCCTGGAGCCTGTTGCCCATGCTCAGTCAGTGGGCCAATACCCCTCTTTTCTTGCTAATACAGTCTTTGGCCTTTATCCTAAGAGTTAGTGGAGAGCCAGGCTTAGTTGAGATGGTATTTAATGGGAGCAGATAATGAACAGGCCTGGACAACCATGTGATGCCACGTACATGCAGTCTCTCTGCAGCTGCCATGACCCACGGCTCTCCCCAGCAACCCCAGGGCAGAGCCCTTGAGTCAGGCAGCACCGCCGGGCTGTGGAAGCAGCTGGCATTCATGAGAGGGTCCAGCAGAGAGGTTCAGAACTGCCAAAAGGTGATTGTGCTTTTTGGATTTGGTGTGATTTCCTTTGGTTTAGACTTGTTCTTCTAGTATAAGGTGTGATTGATAACAGACCCCCCCCCCCCCGCAATTTGGGTTAGTATAGTAATCATTAAAAACATGGTTATTTAGGGAAATATATTTTCACACTTAGCAAACTAACTCCCCAAATCACAACCTTTCCTGTTTAGTCATGGAGTAGCAAGCATGTCCTATTCTGCAGTTGTGATTTATTATGCCAAGCCTTAGAGCCTATCATTTGACCCTGTCACCTGATTCTCACTCAGAAATATTGAAGCAAGTTTGCAGGGTCCTTGGAAGTAGATGCCTATGTAGGAAGTGGGCTAGCTGCATTATAAGTGGGTCTCGGAGAAGAGCTGAGGGTTTTCCCTCCAACCCCTGAAAGACCCTCTTCTGGAGCAAAAGAGGGGAAAGAAAGAATTATACAATGGCCTAGGATAACAATTTTTTAAAAAAGCCTAATCCCCTTTCTTATGGAACAGAAGCCAAATGTCTCTCGATCTGGGCCTTTCTCTCAAGCGGACAAATAGTTCATGTTTTTCAGAAAAGCCTGAAGTTGAAGAATGGCCCAAACGATGTGGTTTTCAGTGTCACCACGCAGTATCAAGGCACCTGTCGCTGTGAAGGCACCATCTATTTGTGGAACTGGGATGATAAAGTTATCATTTCTGATATTGACGGAACAATCACTCGGTAGGTATAACTGATTTAGGGGGCTGTCATGGATTTCTTAACTTCCAAGTAGACTCCTTGAGCCTGGCGTTAGTGTTTTACCTCTTCTCTGTAGCGTCACGGAAATCATGCAGATCGATTTCTGATACAATGAGTGCTACTCCAGACGGTCTTAGCTCCTTGAATTAAATAGCTGCATTTGGTTTGGTGGTGGCTGTCATCCAGGGCATCATCTCCCTGACTTTGCTGCTTACATGGATGCTGACTGAAGAGCGTCTTTTCTGAATGACCTTTTCACTTTTATTCAGCCCATCGAGAACCTTGATACATGATCAGTTGGAAGGTGCCCTTTCAGATATTAACATATTCTTTCCTGAGCATTCACATTTCATTACTTTAGCTTTGGGCTTTCTCTACAGAAATAAGGTCATGGGTCTCATTTGCATTTTCTTTCCTCTTTTTTCTCATTTGCATTTCTTATGAGGCATTTATGGTGCCATGAATCTGAATGGGCTTTTGTTCCTTTTGCTGTTTCCTTTTCACTTTCATTTCTTTCTCGTTTCTACATTTAGGTCGGATACCCTTGGCCACATCTTGCCCACCCTTGGGAAGGATTGGACCCACCAGGGGATTGCTAAGCTGTACCATAAAGTGAGCCAGTAAGTACAGAGCCTTTGCTTCCCATCTCTTGCCACACTGCTGGTGTACGCATGGCACTCTGCACACAGAACCTTTGCTGCCAGGTTATTGGTTAATTTACAGAGGGGGTCAAATGGGGATGGCGGTGGAGAATTCCAAGTGCGCAGTGAATCCCAGCAACTTCAAATTTGAATTCAGTACCCAAAAAGAAGAAAGGGAACTGTTAGATGAGTGGAAAATTAACAGGAGGCGGAAGATGGTGACAGCGTTCGGAGAGTGATTGAGGTTCAGTTCATACTGAAGAATATTAAAAGATATCAGATGAAAAAATGATAGTATTACATATTTCAAGTGATTTGCTTTTGCCTAAAATGTTGCAGATTCAAGTTTTCAGTTACAGTGCGGGTCCTGCGAGCCATCCAGCAGTACACATCTGTACACCTGGTCTGTGGAGTGCTCGAGGCTCAGGGCCCTTCAAGGAGTTTGCTTCTTCCCCCCTCCCCCATTCCCTGCCCTGTACTACCTTCCTGAGTCCAAGCCTCTGACTGCACATAGTCACAAGTTCCCCAGTTTTCTATGAACTAGAGTCTCCCATGTCCATTAGACCTCTCCCTCAATGCATCTGTTCTCCAGCCAGTTAGAGCTGGAAGGTTCCTACCTTAGTGTGAACTAGGACAGCCCTGTCTTTTCCTGGGTGAGGCAGGTGAGGCCCCTGGAAGTTACACAGTTAGTGGATGTCAGGACTTAGAACTCAGGCCTCATGATTCCCAGCCTAATGTGTTCATCTCTGGTCCACATTGGTAGTAACAGGGAGTGGGCAATGGGCAGTCAGCCAAAGCTATTTCTGCTACTCTGCAAACACAGATATACTTTCCTGGATTTCCTTCATTCATTTATCCAGCATTTACTGAGTGCCTGTTATGTGCCCGGTCCTATGATAGGTGCTTGGAGTATAATGAGCTGGACATAGTCTCTGACCTCATGGGCCTTATAATCCAGTAGGGGGTGTGGCTTGGAGAGAGAGAAGAGCTTGTATCCTGATGAGATTAAAAATATCTGATTTCTTCTTAGGGCCCATCTCACTGGATTGCCCCTATTTCTACAAGTTTCATCTTTTTAAAAAATTACAAAAGTAATAAATGCTTCTTTGAAAAAGAAGAGGTAAAGATTACAGAAATGTAAAAGTACAAAGTTTGGGCTTTTCCCTTCCTGCCCTACCACCAAGCTAATCCTTTCCCTAGAAGTGGAACAACTCTTAACAGTTTGGATCCCTCCTGCTAGACTTAAAAAAAATTCATTTACACACTCCCTGCCTGCCGTACACAGGTAATCACATTACTTAATAATGCATTATATCTTTTTTTTTTCATTACATATAAGGTTTACCTCATTCTTTTTAACTGCTGCACACAGTTCTATTGTATGGATAACCATGCTTCATTTAACTAATTCTTTATTGATGAACTTGGAGGTAGTTTTCAGTTTTTTTCACTAACAGTGATGCAATAAGCATTTACATACAATGTTTATTATATATAATGTGTGTGTAAATAAATATAGACACACTCATTTAGGACAGTATTGCTGTAACATAGATTTCCAGAAGTAGAATTGCTAGGTCAAAGGGTCAGTGCTTTTAAGATTTGATCAATATTGCCACATTGCCCTCTGCAAAGGTTATCCCAGTCTGCACTCCCGTAGACAGGGTAAGTGCCAGCCCCTCTCCCCACCACTTTATCACAGGCTGACCTTTTATTTAGAGGGACTAATCTACTGGTGAAGCTACCTAAACTTGCATGACATTGGAAATTTCATCGAATTGTAGTTGAAAGAAATCCCCATGGGTCAGGATACTGAGTAGGTTACAGCCTGATTCACTTTGGTTTCTGGAACATAAATCTATTCCTTCCCTTACTGCAACATTAAAAAAAAGGCACAGTCACATTCGCATTTTTTTTTTGGTTTTGATTTGTGTCTTAGGTTTTCCCAGAAAAGATATCTTACTGAAAAAGTAAGGTTATGTAGCTTCTTTGGTTTAGAATGAATGAGATGGTTAAGGGCTGGGAATACTTCTAGTATTTTCATTTTGGGTAAGAGGACAAAGCATAACGTGATGTGGAGACTTGATATTTATTTGTTCATCGAGTTTTGGGTGTGTAGCCAGTGGCACCAATACAGTTAGACCAGGGTGGTTTGCAGTGATGTTCAAGGCTTCCGGAGCAGCTAACATACAGCTTGGCCATGGCCTTTAGGGGTTCCATACTCAGCACCTGTAGGATAGGAGTCACTTTCAAAGCCCAGGAGCTTTGGGCCCCAGCCATCTGATGTATCCTTATTTTCTGCTCTGTTTCTCAGACCTTGCGCTAACGCAGCTGTGTTTCTCACTCAGTACTTTATTTTCATATCTTCCTGCCCTTGCTCATTTGATGGCCTCTGCTTGCCTTGCCTTTACCGCTGATTTTTGCCTCTTAATGTGTATTTATCCTTTAATGCCTCGCTCTGACCTGCAGTCCTCACGAAGCCTTTCCAGGAGAAAATCAGTGACCCCAGTCTGTTATAATCTGTTCCTCCTCTGGGCTTATTGAGTTCTTTATTGCTACCTGGTTGTCCAAGCACTTGGGCCTGGTTTGCTGGTTTTGGACCCCGTTTTGGAGTTTGAGTACAGGCTGGGCACGGTGTAAAGCTTCCGAGGCTGACTATTGATTAAAGTAAACTATGCAGTAATGTCTCACAGATGAGCTCCTTTGAAGGTCTTAGGCAGCCATGGCTGTGAGAAGTGCCAGGACCAAGAACTGATAAGAGTTTGTGACTCACTAGGATCCCTGGTGGCTCAGTGGTTAAATGCTCGGCTGCTAACCAAAAGGTCGGCAGTTGGAACCCACCAGCTACTCGTGGGAGAAAGATGTGGCAGTTGGCTTCCATAAAAGATTTACAGCCTTGGAAACCCTATGGGGCAGTTCTTCTCTGTTCTGTAGGGTTGCTGTGAGTTGGAATTGACTTGATGGCAGTGGGTTTGGGGCTTGGTGTGATTCACTGTTCTAAGGAGTCTAGGTCTTTCTTTTGAAGTTGTATTTGTGATTACCCAGTGTCTTAGTCATCTAGTGCTGCTGTAACAGATATACCACAAGTGGATGGCTTTAAAAAAGAGAAATTCATTCTCTCACAGTCTAGTAGGCTACAAGTCCAAATTCAGGGCATCAGCTCCAGGGGAAGGCTTTCTCTCTCTGTCGGCTCTGGAGAAAGGTCTGTGTCATCAATCTTTTCCTCCCTTGGTCTGGGAGCTTCTCAGTGCAGGAACCTCAGGTCCAAAGGACCTGCTCTGCTCCTGGCACTGCATTCTTTATAGTATGATGTCCCCACGTGTCTCTGCTCACTTCTCTCTTTTATATCTCAAAAGAGATTGGCTTAAGACACTATCTAATCTTATAGACCTCATCAGTATAACTGCCACTAATCCATCTTATTACATCATAGAGATAGAGTTTACAACACATAAGGAAGTCACATCAGATTACAAAATGGTGAATAGTCATACAATACTGGGAATCATGATCGAGCCAAGTTGACAGATATTTTGGGGGGACATAGTTCAATCCATGACACCCAGGAAGTAATTTAGCATGCTACAATACCAGGAAGCAGATGCCATTCAATTTCGGAAATTTGGACTGATCACTCTTTCCTGATCCTGCTTTCCGTGAATGTGGGTGCCTCTCAAATTTTATGCACTGCCGTTTTTGTCTGTTGAAAAAAAACAACCTTGCAGATAGCCACTTGCCTGGAAACAACAGAAAATAAGGACAATTTTATTGATTGATAGTTGAGTTAGCCTGTGATAAATGATCTGTAAGGCTGATTGCCACCTTGTTCATGTAGAGGGTATAGAGCCTACTTGGTTATTGGTTTAAAAAAAAAACACAGCGTTTACTTATTATTGATTAAAAAGAACTATAGTAAATACAAATGGAAGTATATGAAACTCCCTATTTCCTAAATTATCCAGATCGTTGAGCTAATGGGTCTTTTGGAGACTAAATTTGGACAATTAGTCTAATTTTCTACTTTATTTGATATATATTGAACATATATGTTACATATATATGTTACATATATATGTTAATATATATAATATAGAAATCAGTGTCCTCATGACTTAGCTAGAATGAATACTTTTATTGTTTCCACAGATAAATTAGTTCATCTCTGTGGTCTAAGATATGTAGCATCTCAAGCCCATGTACTGAAAATGGGAAATAATCATTAGCAGACTCATTAGGGTCTTTTTTTCCTTCTCCTGACTACAAAAAACAAAAAAAAAAACCCATTGCCATCGAGTCGATTTCGACTCATAGTGACCCCATAGGACAGAGTAGAACTGCTCCATAGGTTTTCCAAGGAGCGGCTGGTGGATTCAAACTGCAGACCTTTTTGGTTAGCAGGAGAGCTCTTAACCACTGTGCCACCAAGGCTGTGTCCTGCCCACTGCAGTTATCTATTCCTTTCACTTAAAATATTCTTAGTTTATTATAGTCATTACTCTCTGCCTGTAATAGATAAGATGATGTATGATTGGGAGTCAGGGGACCTGGATTCTGCAAAGGGCAACCATCAGCTCACCATAGGCCCTTGGACCAAGTACGTTCCCCTCTCTGAACCTTGATTTCCTCATCTATAAAATGAGGAAATTAGACTAAATGATCTCTTAGACCCTGTCCAGCTCAGAATTGTTCTGATACTGGGATGTAGTTGAATCTTACAAGGGTGTGGCTACTATAGCTTTCCTAAGCCAAGCCTCAGTCAGAGCTCAGGGAATTAGCTAGGATTTATGATTGCACACCTGCTGTGCACCAGGAACTATTCTAGGTGCTTTAGGAGTTACTGAGTTGGAAAAGATGGGCCCCCTACCTTCAAGGCACTTAATGATCATGTAGGATGAGCCGTATGTAGCCCATTGTAAAGAGGCAGTGGGGTAAGTATAATGATAAAGAAACTAATTTTATGAGGACATAAGTGAAGGAGAAATTAATTCTGATCAGAGGGGTATCAAAGAAGGTTTCGATGAGGAGATGGCACTTGAGTTGAGCCTTAATGGTTGAGTAGGGTTTTAAAGAGAAGAAAATTCATCATAGGTGGAAGTCAGAACGAGAGATTAACAGGTGTACTGTGTGCTCATGGAACAGGGACGCTTCAGTGCAGAATGTGGCATGGGGTAAAAAATGAAACAGGAAAGAAGGCTGGGACCAGATCACAGAGGGCCTTGGGTGGCAGGCTAAGAGTAAGCCTGTGTTTGGCACAGAGCCTTCCTTTCTTAAGGTAGCAAGTGATTATTCCTCCTCACAGGAGTACAAATGGGACTTCAGGGAGACAGAGGTCCCTTTTCTCCAGAACGGTAGTTCTCGACCACAGGACCTTTGGCAGTGTGCACAGACATTTTTGATTGTCATGGCTGGCTTCTAGTGGGTAGTAGTGTAGGCTGCTAAACATCCAGCAATGCACAGGGCAGCTCCTGCCAACAAACAATTATCCGGTCTAAGATGTCAACACTGCCAAGGCTGAGAAACCCCAATCTGGGAACTTATCTTGGAAAATGCTCTCAAAGGTAGTTTTTCCAGCTATTCAAATACCTTTCTGGGTCAAATATTTTAAAAGGGATATAGAGATTAGGACAGAAGGAGAAAACTGCTTGTCTCAAGCCCCTAATAACCTGGACATGGACTGTCCTTTCTTTTTTGCTCTGGTATTTCCCCCGAGCCCAGTTCCAATTGCTGAGAGTATTGGAGAAATAGGTGTGATAGATATGTGTGCATTGTACCTTTATTAAGCTGTTATATCTTCTCAGACAGTTAGTCTTTCCTACCCTTGGGTTCCCATTGAATCTTGTGTACACCTCTGCTTTGGCATGTGTCCTGTCTGTAATTGTCTGTTCTTCCCACAACACTATTTGTACCTGCAGAACTGGCCTCTGTCCTGCCATATATGCAGTCCCAGCTCAGCATGGGGTCTGGCCCAGGGAAGTGCTTAGTAAGTGTGTAGTGAGGGAAGGTGGGATGCATGTATGGATTGTGCACAGACTTGGGCTTCGTCTGCCTGGGGTTAGGTACCCTTCTGAGTGAGGGGTCTTACCTGTGAGGGGCACCATTGAGGGTAAGCTTTGGTGATTTGATACAACCTGAGCATTTGATGGGGCACTTAGCAGCATTTGCAAAGCTTTCACGAGGGTGAAGGTTCTGGAGAGGTAATCCCTGCTGCTACCAACAAGCATTTCCAGCTAAATTTAGTCATGGCCTTTGAAGCTGAACACTTGCATGGTGAGAACAACTCAGTGGCATGATCAAACTATGAAATGTATTTGAAAATCAAGTTTTGAATGAAATTAGCATCCCAGACCCCTGCAGGTGGCAACCTTCAGGACTTTGATGTGAAGAGCTGTATGTAGAAATAGTGATTTTTTAAAAAGACTGCACTAGTCAGACAGCTAAAATACAAAAATATTTAATTAAAAAGTTACTTGATTTTTTCAGGTGGATCCTTGTATTCCAAACAAGCTGATTTTCTAAATCGTTTTTTGTCTTAAAACTTTTCTGTTTCTTGGTTTTAAATAAAATATTATGAAGCAATTCAGAGACAGTTCCTTTCACCACCCTAAAATATTCATGTCCAACTTAGAAGAACAGTAAGTTGGGTGGGAAGTGGATAATTTGTTTTTGCCTATTCAGCAATGTTTTCTAACTGCCGTCTACATGCCAGGCACTGTTTTTGGCACTGGGGATACAGCAAGGCATGAGACAAAGTCCCTACCCTCATGGAGTTTGCAGATTAATGAGACAGTCAAACAATTGAATATAATATTAGTGATAAGTGCTATGAAGAAAAAGAAAAGCAGAGCAAGGGGATAGCACCCAGAGTGAGTGAGTGTGTCTTTGTGTGTATTTTATTTTAGAAAGAGTGGTCAAAGGCAGGGCCCTCTGAGGAAGTGATGTTTGAACAGACCTGGATGAGGTAAGGGAGCGAGCGAGCTCTGAAGATCTGGGAGACTAGTGCTCCAGGCAGAAGGAACAGCATAGACAAATGCCCAGTGCAGAAGTGAGCGTGGTGAACTGAGGAACAGAAAGAACACCTGTGTGGTTAGCCAGGTGTGAGGGGAGGGGGCAGTAGTAGCAGATGGGATTGGAGAGAAAGGCAGGGTCAGATCTTGGAGGCCTTTAGGCCATGGTGAAGAATTTGGATTATATTCTGTGAGAGATGGTAAACCATTGGAGGAGGGTTTTGAGCATGATCTGAGTAAATTTTAAGTTTTCTTTGGGTACTACATGAAGGCTCGATTGGGGTGGGCAAGGCAAAAGTAGAAGCAGGGAGATGATTAAAGGCTGTTGCAGCAATGGAAGCAGTGGTGGTGTGGACAAGGGTAGTAGCAGTAGGGGTGGTACTGTCAAAACGATTTGGGGCAGTGTCTGACCTCCTCTAACTTCACAAGGGGGAAGGAGAGCCAAGTCTAACAGCCCAAGGCTGATTCATATGAGGTGGGGGTCAGACATGCCTCATCTCTCTACCACCTTTACCAATTCTAACACCAAACGTCCCTCCCACAGCATTCTGTACTTCTCTGCTGGGTTTGACAGTTCGTTGCAATGGCCACACAGAACTCACAGACCATACTGATGATTATGGGGCTTATTAGGGAAGTAACAGTTAAATTCAGGCTCAGGAACACTCAGGATACAGTTCTTCCATCAGGACAGCCTCTTCCCAGCTGTGCTCAAAGGCACGCCTCTCCCTGGCCCTCAGCCTCTGTCCAAGGGCACTCAGCTTTCTCTCCCTGTGAAGTGGGAAGCCCACTGCCTTCTCCTGCTGCCGGGTCTCTGCTGCTGGGTCTCTCCTGCTGGTCTTTCCTTCCTTGGTGGTAGTGGGCTCGTCTCTGCTCTGAAATTGGCTCTCCTTTAAGGCAAAACTGACCAATCCCCTTGGTGAGCCACAATTACCTTATCACACAGTCCTGCTCAGTCACTTGGGTGGGAGTTACAAGACCATGGCTAGAAGGGCCACACACAAAAGTAATCAGTGGCACGGCAGGTGCTGAGGAGATGGTTTTGGGATAGGCTTGGTGGCAGAGCCGAGAAGACTTGCTAGTGGACTGAGGTGGGTGAGGTGGCTGTGAGGAAAAGTAGAAACCAAGATGGCTTCTGGAATTTCAGCTTTACACCTGGGTTAATGAGAGTGCCATTTGTTGAGGTAGGGAAGACTTCAAGGAGTGGTCTTTTTTTGATATACTATGTTTAAGATGCAGGAGCCCTGGTGGCGCGATGATTACGTGCTCAGCTGCAAACCGAAAGATAAGTGGTTTGAACCCACCAGCCACTCCACAGGAGCAAAGATCTGCTCCCGTAAAGATTTCTGCCTAGGAGACCCTATTCTGTCCTATAGGGTCACACTATGAGTTGGAATCCACTTGTAAGCACACAACAGCACGTTTAAGATACTATTACATGTCTAATAAGTAATGTGGATTTTGCAGTTGGCTATATGGATCTGGACTTTAGGAAGAAGGGTGTGGACTGAAAACATAAATTTGGGTGGTATCAGTGTATAATTGGTACTTTAAAATTTTTTTAAATAATTTATTCAAAGTATTATTTAAACAAGTAACCAATATAAAAATTATTAATGAGATATATTATATTCTGTTTTTTATACTAAACAAATATTTGAAACTTGGCATATATTTTCTACTCATAGCACATCCCACTTAGGACACTGAATTTTCGATGGTTAAAAAAAGTGAAATGTACAGTAGTCCTGCTAAAGGAATACATTTGTGTTAACAGAAAAATATTTTACACTTGTTCAGTTTAGATGTGGCAAATAAGGCCATGGAAGTGGTTGAAATCACCTAGGAAGTGAGGGTGGTGAGAAGTGAGTCCTAGGACCCCAGGACACTCCAACCTTTCAAGCCTGGGTGGAGGAGACGGAAGCAGCAAAGGCATCATTTCTGAGAAGGAGTGGCCAGGAGAAGGCGGAAACCAGGAGACTGGGGAGTCTGAAAGTCGAGTGCAGGAAGTGTTCTAGAGGCAGGAATGATCAGCTGTGTCAAACGCTACTGCGAAGTCTATTAATATGAGAGCTGAGCGTTGGCTACTGGATTTAGCAAGATGGACGTCACCGGTGACCTTTACAAGGGCAGTGACGAAGTGGGAACAAAAGCCTTATTGGAGTGAGCTGAGGAGAGAAAGTCAAGTGAAGAAGTGGAGTCAGTGAATATAAACAGTTCTTTGAAAGAATTTTGTTGTACAGGGGTACAGAGAAATGGGATTGTAGCTGGAGAGGGTCTAAGGAGGTTTGTGTGTGTGTGTGTGTGAGATTGTTTTTGATTTGGTTTGTTTTTAGGATGAGGTGAAAGTGATTACAGCATATTTATATACTGATAGGAAGGGAGGATTTGATGTGCGTTTGTGGTGGGGGTGGTGGAGGGAGTTGAGGGGTGTGTCTCACTCCTGGAGCAGTCTGAATTGGCAGATGGGGATGGGATCCTGTGCGCAAGTGAGTGGGTGGCTCTTAGCTAGGAGCAGGAACAGGGGAATGTGACCGGTACAGATGCAGGTAGATTGGCCAGTCTGAAGATCTGACCCTCAGGTTCCCTAGCAATAACGCAGGGAAAATACCTACCAAACCATGTCCTGAAGAAGATGAAATGAAGTGATGAATGTGCAAGTGCTTAGTAAATTATAGTGCAATGCACATAGGCCTCTTTCTATATTGAAAATAAGATTTTGTATAAAGTGGACTTTATTTGTGAGGGAGCGTGCAACAATGCCATTCTTCATGAAACATAAATCAGGGTTTGTGAATACAAGAAGTCCCATTTTATGATGCCATTAAATATGCATATTTTGTCTCTTTTCCAGAAATGGATACAAGTTTCTCTACTGCTCCGCACGTGCTATTGGGATGGCAGATATGACCAGAGGATATTTGCACTGGGTTAATGAGAGGGGCACGGTGTTACCTCAGGGACCGCTGCTGCTGAGCCCAAGCAGTCTCTTCTCTGCCTTGCACAGGTACCGCCCTCAGGCTTTGTCCGCCTCCAGCTCCCAGATCTTTGGACCAGTTCAGGCCCTCTTTCTTCCTAACTGGAAATTTTGCAAGAATATTCTTAACTGGTCTTCCCCAACCAATATCCAGGCTCCAAATCAGGCATCAGAAAAATCATTGTAAAATGCAGATCTAGCCCTGCCGCCCTCTGCTCTCCACCCTTCCTTCCCGGGCTCCTCAGGGCCCTCAGAATCGCCCCCAGATTCATTAGCTTGTGTAGCGTGACTCTTCATGACCTGCCCCTCCCCTCCTCTCCAGTTCCTATAACTCAGTCATCCTGAGCTACCTCTGTTTTCCAGAATGATATTCTCTACTTTGAGCCTGTACAGATGCTATTCTCCTTTTTTGGATAGCTCACCTTCCCTCCTGCACCCACTTTGCTTTGCCAGGCTAAGTCTTAATAACCCTTTGAGAATCAACTTGTATCCACCTAACCTGAAACCTAGGCTAAGTGGCCCCTCTACCAACTGCTACCACCCATCTGACCTTGGGCTCCCGTGATACTTGTTGTCGTTTCTCAGAGCTGTAATTACACTGTTTATTTTAATGATCCTCTAACAGACCACTAGCCAATTTCTGATTACCTGTCTCTCCCTTCGCCTTTCTAGCCTTATTCAAGGAAGCCAAACCAATCTAGCCCGGCCTCATTGGAGGGGAAGGAAGGGGGGAGAGAAACAAGGGACTTCCCCATAGTTTGAGGCCCAGAGCATAATCTAGTGTGGTCAACTACAGGACATTGGTCCTGCTAAAGGTTAATTGTAAGTGTCACGTAGTTGTGTCTTTAAGACCCACTGAATGGCTTTGACATGGTTCTGCCTGAATTTGGGGGCCAGATTAGCTCCTTGCTGTTGCTAACCATGCAAAGCTGTGGAAAAATCCAGAGGAGCCCAAAACAGCATGTTGACACTTCCTGACTATTTTTCTTTAGCTCTTCAGATACCTTTTCCATCTTTGTTTTGTATGAGTAGTCACTTTTTTTCCTCTAGTAAATGAGCTCACATTAAAACTTGCGTGTTTTGAGGGGAAAAGTCCGTCAAAAACCTATGGATTCTGTGGTGTATGTCAAGCCCTAAGAGCTGTCGTAACAGTGTAGATTACAATAGAAATCCAGGTGTGTTAGTGGAGGGGTGTCCTGAGTTATGCTGACGGTGTGCAACAAGCTGCTCATTAGCGCATGTTAAGTACTAAGGCTTTGCTAGGGCAAGAGCTGACGTTATTACTCTGACATCCTGCCACTAAAAATCAAGTTAAAGCCGTCTTGTTATTCTTTCCTTATTATTAATATCATTTTTTGCCTGTGAGGAATTATTTTAAAAACAAACAAACACAAAACCCTCACAGAGATAGAGGTGCTTCTGATGTCAAACGGCCAACAGCCTGGTCCTTTCTAGCTCCAGTCTAACCACAGCCATTGCACATTAACAGTTCTGAAGGTTTTCTAGGATTGCTGGATAAGTCCACCAACTCTGCCGTGAACACGGATGGCCTTCCTTACTCATGTTAGCTCCCTGTATTCATCGGTTATAGACTGCCGTATTGAAGGACCACAAAGTGAGTGGCTTTAAATAACAGAAACTTATTGTCTCACAGTTCTGGAGGCTAGTAGTTTGAATTCAGGGTGTCAGCTGGGCCATGCTCTCTCTGGAGCATGGAGGCTCTAGGGGAAATCCTTCCTTGTCTCTCCCAGCTTCTGGTGGCCCCAGGTGTTCCTTGGCCTGTGGATGCATCCTCACATGGCCATTTTTCCTCTGACAGCCTGTGCCTCTTTTTTTTTTTATTATATGATTCCATTTACATGAAACATCTAGAATAGAGAAATGCATAGAGATAAAGAGTAGATTAGTGGTGGGCTGGGGGAGGGGGAGATGGGGAGCCACTGCTTACTGGGCACAGGGTTTCTGTCTCGGGCGATGAAAATGTTTTGGGAACAAATCATGGTGATGGCTGCACAACACTGTGAGTGATCAGTGCCACTCGACTTGAAAATGGGTTAAAATGGCAGATTTTATGTTATGTGCATTTCACCACAGTAAAAAAAAAAAAAAAAGTATTAGTAAAACAGTATGCTGTAGCAGCAGGAGAAAGTCTGCATGCGGAGAGAAGAAACAGGATCCAAAGCAGGTTCAGTAATAAAGAACAGGCAAGGTGGCCTGGACAAGCCTAGGAGGGAAAGAGAGCCTGGGGCAATGGTTGAAAGTGGAAGGAAGTCTTCTCTGGAGGACTGTAAGCCTAGGCCATTTAGCTGAGAGAGAGCCAGTAATTGTACCAGGTAAATTGAGTTTCATCTGTCTGCCTAGACACCAAGCCAATGCTGCAGTTTTCCCTAGGTTTCTTAGATGGAAAAAAACTTGATTTGCTTGGGGTTCAAACTGAGGAAGCAGTTTTCCAAAGTCATTCATCCACAGCCACTTTCCCATTAAATTAGGTTCTGGAGCTGGCCATTGCATGGTGGGGAATCCAGCATCACTGTTTTGGCATGTTATGGTTCCTATTCCAAATTACAGTATGTAATATCCCAGAGTGTCAGACAAAATAGAGGTAGAAGATGTTAGGAATGTACATGGAAGGGAGCAATCAGAACTGGACTGCCTCGGGAGTGAAGAAGCCAGGCGGTGGACCTTCAGCTTCTGAAATAGGATGGGTAGCATTGCTAGAGAGAGCTAGAAGACGTCTTTGGGTCAAATAGTCTTCTAAGGAAAACTACTTCTTGTTAGGGTTTCTTTTTGCTCTGTGGAAAATCCTGGAGTACCTTCTGAGCAGCGTGTATTCATTCAATAGTAACTGGCTGCTGCGCCGTTGGTTTTGCTGAGGAAAGCTGGACGGTAGCACAGTGAAGGACATCTTGGCTGTTAAAAAGGGGGTTCCCTACCCCCGGCGCTGACCCCAGCCCAGCATCACCGTTCACCAGACAGGGTACAGCCAAGTCCAAGATCTCTGTCTCTTCTTTTACAAGGAGTGACTCAGGTGGGATCAGGACCCCCTCTACTCCAGTGTGTGACCTCTCTTAACTGATAACGTTTCCAGAGACCCTGTTTCCACACAGGGTCACATTCACAGCTATCGGGGGTTTGGATTTCCACATAATCTTCTTGGGGGGCACAATTCAATCCGTAACACCTATGGACAAGACATCTTATTTGGGTACAGTTCTGATTATACTGCCAAGGTTTAAATTGGAACGAAGGAGAAGGAATGTCGTGGGTGAATCTGCATGTAGCATGGTCTGTGTGATCTCAGCAGGGGCTGGCAGAGAGGGTTCTGAAGTGGGACTCAGGAGCCCCAAGCTTTAATTGTGTGTGGCGATGCTTACCGGTGTGACGAGAGTGATGCCTCCCTTTTCTGAGTCTGTTTCCTCAACTACCAAGTGAGGGGTTGGATTAGAAGATCCTAAGGGTGCTTTCCGACACTAGAATGCTATGATTCCAGGAAACATGTCTGGAAAAAAAAGTTGAGAATTTTTTATATGCTTACTCTTTTGGTTCGGGAGCTGCTTGCTCCTATTAAGGTAGAAATTTGATTTGAGTCATGTGATTCTTTTTAGTTACCTACCCTGTTTGTTGTGGAGACAGCTATTCAGATTATTTTCATAAATGCTCAATGACTGCAGTATGTATTCTTAATAAGTATGGCTCCAGTCTCTTGGGTAGTCTCGGTGATGAGTTGAGCTGATGGGCAGGGTTGGGCAAATTAGCCTTTGCCATAATTCCCATGACCCTGGGTTACTGAGCAGAGTTTAGCTTCTGGAGTTAGGCAAAAACAGAGGCTGGCGTCTGTCTGTGGGAAAGAAGACATTATTCTGTAAGTAACTCAGTTTTCCCTTTGGTGTTCTGAGCTGCTCTGAGGCTTGGACAAGTGACTTCTTTTTGTTGCTAGAGTAAAATTACTAATAGGGTGAGGTGAGTACCAGTGACTGTTTGCAAATTCAAATGAGCAAAGAGATTGGACATACTGAGGTAGAATCTGTATTGCACCCCGCAGCAAGTCTCAGCAGTCCTCACCACTCACTCCCTAGGGATCCTAACTACCAAACCAGGAGTCATGCACCTTCAAAGCATTTGGTGGCATGGGGCCACTGAGGTCTTTTCTTACTGTGGACTACTTACCTTCGGATATATGCCTGCAGACATCTTCCTCCTCGCCCTCCAGCATACCTCCTGTGTGCGTGTGTGTGTGTGTGTGTGTGTGTGTGTGAGAGAGAGAGAGAGAGATTAAAGCAGGAAGTTGAGTTTTGATGTTTCCCCCAAAATGCATTGAAGTTTGAGACTTATACCAAAAAAAAAAAAATAAACAAAAACCAAACCCATTGCTGTCGAGTCATTCCGACTCATAGTGACCCTATAGGACAGAGTAGAACTGCCCCATACGGTTTCCAAGAAGGTGCTGGTGAATTCGAACTGCCAGCCTTTTGATTAGCAGCCAAGCTCTTAACCACTGCACCACCAGGGCTCCACCATATGTCTGTCTCTAAGGGTTCTGACATGTAGAATGCAGGCCCCTCATGTTAGTGTTAAGGAGGGCCCTGGAGCCTACACAGGTCAGTGCAGAGCCAAGACCAGCCCTTGGGTCGTCTGACACTCAGTTTGGTGCTCTATCTTCATCATCATCATCATCATCATTTAAATTACATATTGAGTAGGTACAAAAGAATATTTCTTAAATATATGCGACGTATAAAGGATAAGCCAACAGAGAACACCAGTGTACCCATCCCCCAGTTAGAGAGAAAGGACAGTACAATTACATTTGAAGTCCTTAATTGCCCTCATCCCTCCCCTCTCAGAAGTAGCCCCTGTTCTTGAATTTTGTGTTAATTGTTCCTTGTTTTTCTCAATGGTTTTATCCCATATATTTATGTGTGTTATATGTTTGTAATCCTAACCAGTATATTTGATTTTGCGTGTTTGTGAACTTTGTATAAATGGAAACGTGTGTTCTTCTGGAGCTTGCTTTTTTCGATCAACATTATGTTCCCAAGATTGTTGATGTAGCTGTAATTCATTCATTTTTTATGATTGCATAGTATTTTGTTCTGTGGCTCTGCTTTTATTTATCCATTTGAGTGTTGATGGTTATTTGAGTCATTTCCAATCGTTGCCACTGTGAGAGCAGTGCTTCTGTGAACATTCTTGTGGTTGTCTGCTGGGGCACATATGCAATGTTGCTCTGAAGTATATGCTTAGGAGTGGTATTGCTGGGCCATAGAGTATGCACATCTTCAGCTTTACTAGGTAATTCCAAACTCTTTTCCAAGGTAGTTGAACCAATTCATGCACCCAGCAGCAGTGTCTAAATGCTCTGTTTATTCTGCTTTCTTGTCAAAACCGTGTCAGACGTCTACATTTCTGTCCATCTGGTGAGGATGAAATGTCTCTTTTCATATGTTTATTGGCCATTTGGGCTTCTTCTTCCATGAAGTGTCTGTTCAGATCTTTTACCCGTTTTCCTTTTTGGTTTGTGAGAGCATGTTATATGATTGTCTGTGTACTTAGCCTGTATGCTGAGTGTCACCAACATCTTTCCCCAGTTATGGCTTTTGATGAACAGAACATTCTTAGTTTCATGTAGTTGAACGTATCATTTCTTCTGTCATCTGTACTTTTTGTGTGTTAAAAAATCCTTCCCTAACCTGTAGGCATAGTCATATTCTTCTGTATTCGATGGTTTTGTCTTTAATATTTTGGTCTAGAATCCCCTGGGAACTGATTTTCATGTATAGGGTGATGTTGTGTTGCCATGTGCCATGGAGTCAATTCCTACTCATAGCAACCATGTAGGACGGAGTAGAACTAACTGCCCCACAGGGTTTCCTAGGCTATGATCTTTGTAGGAGCAGGTCACCAGGTCTTTTCTGCCATGGAGCAGCTGGTGGGTTCAAACCTCCAACATTTTGGTTTGCAGCAAAGTGCTTAACCATTGTGCCACCAGGGCTCCTTATATACAGTGAACTAGGGTCCAATGTCTTTTTTTTTTTTCCTATATAGATATTCATTTCTCCCAGAAAGTCCATCCTTTCCCTCCCACTTTGAGGTGCCGTTGTGGTCTTACATCAACATCTCTGTGACTCTGTTTCTGGGCCTTCTGTTTTGTTCCATTGGCAAAGGGACAGGCAAATTGACTGTTACCACACGGTCTATAAACTACTATAAACCAAAAAAAAATGCCATTGCTGTCTAGTGGAATTCTGACTCACAGCAACCCAGTAGGGCAGAGAAGAACTACCCCACAGGGTTTCCAAGGCTGTGAAATCTTTACAGAAGTAGACTGCAACATCTTTCTCCTGCAGAGTGGCTGGTGGTTTGGAACTGCCGACCTTTTGGTTAACAGCTGAGCGCTTTAACCACTAAGCCACCATGGCTCCTGTTAAACTATTATAGCTTTGTAATAATTCTTGATGATGTGTAGTAAGGCAGGCTCCTCAACTTCCTGTTATCAGAGGTGTGTTGGCTATTCTTTTCCTTTGCTCATTGAAATTACAGTGAATCTGTACATCAATTTAGCAGAAATCTTTCTCAATATAATACTGAATCTTCCAATTCAAGACTATGATCTACTTCTTCATTTATTTAGGTCTTCCCTAATATATTTCAGTACAGTTATACAATTTAATTCATAAATGTCTGGCACATTTTTTGTTAGGTTTATTCATAGACATTTGATATTTTAAAATTCTATTTAAAATACTATTTACAAAACTATGTTTTCTACCTATTTGTTTCTGATGCATGAAAATGCAGTTGGTTTTGGTACATTGATTTTGTTGTCAGCAACCTTATTAAACTCTTATTAGTACTGATAATTCATCTGTAGGGTCTTTGGGTTTTCTATGTAGATATTTTTTTGTGAATAATGGTAGGTTTTTTTCCCTTCCTTTCCAGTCCTCATCACTTTTGTTTATTTTTCTTACTTCATTGCACTGGATAGAACTTGCAGTACAGGGTTGAACTGAAATAGTAAGAGTGACCACCATTATTTCAGTATTAAATAGGATGTTTGATACAGGGTTATGAGTATTACCTTCTATTCCTGGTTTAAGAGTTTTCATCCTGATTAGATGCTGAATTATATCAGATAGTCTTCCTGTATCTATTGAGATGATTATGTTTCTTCTCCTTTAATCTGTTATTATATTAAGTTAATCAATTGAAATATCAAGTTACTCTTGCATTCTTGTACTAAACCCAATTTTTATTCCCTCTGGGGGTCACTATGGGTCGGAACTGACTTGATGGCAATGGGTTTTTGGGGTCAGTTTGCAGAGTTTGGGTGGTGCAAATGGTGTTAAGCGCTCGGCTTAAAAAGGTTGGACGTTGAAGTTCACCCAGAGGTACCTCAGAAGAAAGGCCTGGTGATTTACTTCTGAAAAATCAATCATTAAAAACCCTATGTAGTATGGTTCTACTTTGACACACATGGGGGAGCCATAATTCAGAATTGACTTGATGGCAACTGGTTTTTACTGGGTGGGGTCAGTTTGCTTATGTGTATTGATTTAGGATTTTGCATTTACATGGGCCAGATTTTGTGCATACTGCTCGTTTTTAGGTCTTGTTTTTGAGGTTATGCTACCTCATAAAATGACTTTGGGAATATTTCTACCGTGGGTTTTTTGGTTTGTTTTTTTGTGGGATGACTTTAAAGTACTGATTCAGTATCTATCTAGTGCTTTTTTGGGGAGGGCAACTGACTGACTTACACATAGTTAATTTTCGAAGGTCTGAACGTGTTCTTGAGTTGCGGCAACTTTTGAAAGTTAAAAATAGTTGTTGCTATTAAGGAAACGTGTCTTCTCATTCTGATCCACTATTTATTTATTTTAACAGAGAAGTGATTGAAAAGAAGCCAGAAAAGTTTAAAGTCCAATGTTTGACAGACATCAAAAACCTGTTTTTTCCAAATACAGAACCCTTTTATGCTGCTTTTGGAAACCGACCAGCTGTAAGTAATAGATGGGCTCTATCAGAGATTTTGAAATTACTACCTTTTCTGACAGCAGTCACCTGACAGCCCTGGCCTAGAGCTTTCTATAAAGCCAGCTGCTCAGCCTGCATCCTACAAGAGATAGCCTGGTAAATAGCCACTTGCCTACATCTCAAGGAAAGGAGAGTTTACATTATTTCATGAACCCTAGTTTTCTTTAAAGCTTGGCAAGTTGGTTTCAATTTGAAGCATGACATGTGGGCTAGAAACTCCAGATTACCTGGTCCCACCTAGTTGCTCAATTAAAATGGCAAAGTGTAACACATTCGGGTACCCTCTGAGTCACATGGCTACTTGCTTGCTAAATAAGTAAGTAGAACAGGAACATATGCTAGGATTAGACCCTTTCCATCAGAAGGGAACCCCAAAGCGAACCCTAAGCACAATGGTGAATTCAGCATTTCAATGTAACATAGTATTGTTTCATATGGTGTCACAAATGCTTTGAGGTTTTGCATGTACTGTCCAGATTGACTGGAAAGTTCAGCATTCCGGAGACCCTGTTTATCTCTCCACATGCTGACCTGTAGTATGAGGGTAAGTCAAAAAGTATTGCTACTAGGGTTCCAGTTCATACATGCATGGGTTTATTCCAAACAAAATGTATTTAAACATGTCTCTGTGATCAGTGGATGGCTGTAGACAAGTTCTCTCCACAATACACTTGTCTTAGTCTTGTTAGGGTGCCTTCAAAAAAAAAGGATACTTTCTGTGCCATGGAAAAAAAACGATTTTGAGGTCAGGGCTAATATCCAATTTTTAACATAACTTAAGTGGACATCTGCTCAAATCGTTGAAGCTTTGCAACAAGTTTATGGGAATGCTGCCCCACATAGAACAGTTTTTAGATGGATCAAGTGTTTTAGGGAAGGTCAGGAAGACCTCAAAGATGAGGCAAGAGAAGGAAGACTGCTCAGAATGTTATGGCAACTGTTTTTTGGGATTCCAAAGGGGTAATCTTGATAGATTTTCTTGAAGGACACAGGATGATCATGAGGGCTTATTATGAAGAACTTTTAAGAAAATTGAAAACTGCACTGGTGAGAAAAAGGCCAGGAAATTTGCACTGAGGAATTTTTTCCCACCACGACAATGCACCTGCTCATTCTTCAAGGGTAGCAAGGGCTGTCCTAAGAGAATCTTGTTGGGAAACCCTTATCCCATCCACCCTACAGCCCTCATCTTGCCTCTTCACCATCTTTGTGTTCCCAAAACTCAAAGAACATTTAAAAGGAACACGATTTGAGTCCCTCCAGGATGCCAGAACTGCCATTTTGATGTGGTGTAAATCGCAGAGTGCAGAATTCTTTAGGGGCGGTGTTAGACAGGTGGAAACACCACCTTGAGAAGTGTGCAGACCTCGATGGAGGATACGTCGAGAAACAGTAGCCTCACAGTTTGATATTTTTGTTTAATAAAGGTTTCTTTGATTTTATGGAGCCCTGGTGGCGCGGTGGTTAAGAGATTGGCTGCTAACCAAAAGGTCAGCAGTTCAAATTCACTCCTTGGAAACCCTATGGGGCAGTTCTACTCTGTCCTATATAGGGTTGCTATGAGTCAGAATCAACTCGACAGCAACGGGTTACGGGTTATGATTTTGTAGCAGTACTTTTTGACTTACCCTCGTATAGTTGGGTGCTAATTACCCAATAAGAAAATTCTCTTACTTTTTGAAATCATGACACAGAAAATGGGTCAGAGAATAACCTTAAGAAATGTTAGAACTGCAGGGGAGGTGGTAGGTTATCTACTCTTTAACTCAGTTCTTGAACAAATGAGGGAACTGAGGCCCAGAGAAGAAAACGAATTTAGTAGTTTTATCGTCAAAGGATATTCTTTCTCTACAAGACTTGGAGACAAAACTTGGTTAATGAAAATTTTGTAATATTGTAGAAAATCAAATATCATGTATTTGTTTTTACAGTTTTCTAATTAACCCTTTCAATGGCCTTTACCAATATAGGATGTATATTCATACAAGCAAGTGGGAGTGTCTTTGAATAGAATATTCACCGTCAATCCCAAAGGAGAACTAGTACAGGAACATGCAAAGACCAACATCTCATCGTGAGTGTCCGTGAACGTTCTACGTTGTTACTTTATTGTAACCGCTGTTGCTCTCCCTTTACTCTTGGAATGGTGTTTTACAGTTTATAGTATACCTTTTCATTACTTGTTGCCTGTGTTTCAATCTTTAATTACTATAATGAAAAATATATTTTAACTTCTTGTATTTTTTCCAAAACTTAAATTTTGGACAATTTAAATGCAATCATTTCCCTCCGGGTCTAAAGTTGAAGGCAGTGGTTAGATTCTGCTACAGCAGGGAATTGAATGAATCTGAAAATTTGTAGCATAGATTTGCCAAGTTAGTTTTGAAAGCCTAGCATGTGAATTAGGAATATAACCAAATTGAAATGTCACATGAAGCTGTATTTAAAGATGAGGGGCTGTTTATCTCTTTCCATGCTGACCTGTAATAATGGTCTTGCCAGAAACCTTGTTGTGTAGTTATAAACATTCCCCTTGCATTTTTGGTCAAAACCCAGTTTCCCTAAGTCAGAGGCCTAAACTGGATACCTGTTTTTAATGAGGCATTCTAGTTGGCAGTGGTGTCCCTCTTGACTGTAAAATGCCTCACTTTGGGCTCCTAACTTCTTAGAATGGAGAATGTTTCCACATTCTGTGAGAGATGTGTTAGGGCGCTTTGCTCACTGGGTGACGTCAGCCCAGGCAGACAAGCGTCGTCCTGCCTGGTCCATTTCAGAGGCTGGACCTCCCTTGGCCTGGTCTGTGCAGATGTGGAAAATAGCCTCTGGCCTGAGTGACCCCAAGGCCTGACAGAGCCTTCCTTATCTGGCAGCAAGACAAGGGGAGTTTGGTTCTAGCAGCTTCCTAGGGATCAGTCTTCTCCAGGCACCTCATGTGGTTTTAGATCAAGGAGAAATGTGGATTCCCTCCAGAATACATCACTTTCAAGAAGACCCTTATACCAGCTGGCATCTACTACTTCAGCTTAAATAGGGCAGTTTCAGGCCCAAGGGATCCCTGGGGCCTGCCCTGGACAAGGCTCCCTCCCCCATAGTCATGCCAGTACGAAAACAACTCCCACAGTTTGTGGGGAGACAAGCGAAGGTGGAGCCATGACCCTCCTCCGTCTTTGACCTTGTAAGTCAGTGTCGGGCTGCTTTCTGATCCTTGACCATGTAAGTCAGTGTCGGGCTGCTTTCTGATCTTTGACCTTGTAAGT